AGACCCACCCCTCACTCCAGACCCACCCCTCACTCCAGACCCACCCCTCACTCCAGACCCACCCCTCCAGCGTAATCTTCTGCTGGAGGACATAACAGCCTCCCATGTGTTGTCCGGTTAACTGTCCAGGTGTACCCTCAAGGGCTCTAACTGAGAACAGATATGTACTCTCATTCTCAGACCCCGATCTTGTCCCAGGACAGCCATCTATCGCTTGCCATAGAATGCCCTTCCAGGAACCCCTGACTCCTGACATATTTGATAGTGTGCTTTCCTAATGACTTGAGATCTGTCTCCACCAAGGATCCTTACTGTTGTTTAAAGAGCTGAAATCAGGAGAGACAAAGCTGTAAGCATGGTGCCTCTCTCCACACAGGAGCCACCTGTCTTAATGTATAACTAACTGTCCTCCATTCTCCAAGCCTCTGGGAAAACACCTCATGGGTTAGGCAGAGCTATCCTAGATGCCAAGAAAGGGATGATGGGAGCCTAGGGGTTAAGGATGCGGGATCCTGCTCCTAAATCCTGTCCTCAATAGGGTCATCTACTATCCTGAGACTTCCTGAAAGACATGCATGAAGAGAGCAAGGCCAGGTGGAGAAAGTGGCATGCTTCTAGGCCTCCACACTAGCCCTGGGGAACCATGGGCCGGCCATAGAGCAACCTCTTTTCCACAGTTGGAAGTGGCCAGCTGGGTACCAAAGTGAGCAGAGACACCCCTCTCTCCATCCCCCAAAGCCCATAGCTGATGGTGGGTCTTACCACGTTGCTGGCAGGGAAAGGCAGTCCTGAGCAGCAGGAAGATACAAGCACAGAAGCATTAGAGGCAGAGCAACAGGAAGCGCAGTTGCTGCAAGGCTGGAGCAGAGCTGCCTGGTGTTTGTCCCAGACATTCAAAGCAGCAGAGGATTAGGGGCAGGAGCAGCCTGTAGGATCTAGAGTCTAGGTCCGCCTCCTTTGCCACGTAGAAAAAGGAGCATTGAAAGCAAGAAGTGCCAGAGCCAACTCAACCCCATCCCTCCTCTGCAAGCCTGTGACATCGAAAGCACCCCAGGCTCCATCACTCTCTCGTGCTCCCAAACTTTATCCCACACATTGAGCTCTCTACATCCTAGTGTTGAAGGCCAACTCTCTGAGGGGCCTCTTTCCTTGTCCCGGGGGCAATGTGGCCCAACTGGGACAAAGGCCCAGAGGAAATCCCAGTCCCCACTCCTCTCAGAGAAGACCCTCCTTCTAGACGCCCCCGGGAGGCGTAGCCCACTCTCTGCAGCCTCTGAGATGGCAGGGTGCTCTGCCCTGTCTCTGTCTTCCTGTAACACTTGGTATAAGAAACTGCTGGGCCCCTTGGGGAGCAAAAGATGAGAGTGAGATAGCACAGGAATGGGTGTGGGAATAAGTGAGTATAATCCAGTCATGGTCATCTACTCATGGGTGCTCCTGTCCTCCTCCACCATGAAAACCTACCAAGGAAGTGGATTGTAATGGCTGTGAGGGGGTACAGAGGGTGGCTCTGAGTCCCAGGGTTCTCCAATAGTGCCCTGCGTGACATTTACTTCAACTACTCGATGTCTAACTTACAATCACCACATATTGGAATTCATTTCATTCACTGATTGTACATTTCTTCCAACCAGCAAGTGTTTGGGGTGACATTTGTGGATCAGACTCTGTACTCATCCCAGAGTTCCAGAAAAGTCTTTTCCAGGAAGCACATATGATATCCAGGAGACAAGACAGGTCAGCATGTGAGAACAACATTGAGCTATGTTCTTTTTTCAGATGGGGAAGGGTGGAATCAACAATGCCCTTCAGCCAACACTGTGAGATCAGAGAAGTCATCAACTAGAGGGTGACTGTGAAAAGGCACAGGATTCTTTTGGGTTATATAAAAAAAAAAAATCTGTGGGCTGAAGAGATGGCTCAGAGGTTAAGAGCATTGGCTCCTCTTCCAGAGGACTGGGGTTTGATTCCCAGCACCCACATGGCTCCTAATAACCTTCATTAGCTTCAGTTACAGAGAATCTGATGCTCTCTTCTGGCCTCTGCAAGTACTGCGTGCATGTGGTGCACAGACATTCATGCAGGCAAAATACTCATACACAAAAATAAAATAAAATAAATTTCAATTAAAGAAAGCATCCTAGAATTAGAGAGTAGTGATGGTTGTGGATCTTCTGAATGTCACCGAATTGCACTGCAGGAACTGTGTCTCCAGGAGGAAACAGCTGGCCAAATAGAAGTGGTCAGCAAATTCCATGCACATCCCCACCCAAACACCGACCCTTACCTGTTCTCCTTTTAGACCTGGGAATCCAGGCACACCAGTGTCACCTTTTGGTCCTCTAGGGCCCTGCAAAGAATTGTTGGAGGGCACTGTGTTGATGGTTAAAAGGTTTTGCACAAAAAGGAAACATCTCTGTTTCTCTCTGTCTCTGTCTCTGTGTTTCTCTCTCTGTTTCTGTCTTTTCTGTCTCTTTCTGCCTCTGTCTCTGTCTGTCTCTCTGTCTCTGTCTCTCCCTCAGAACAACCACTTACCAGGAAGACAGAAGCCATGATTAGTCTGATCTTTTCCTAACCTTAAGGAGGCTGGAGGACGCTGGGGTCAGACAGCAGCACTGAGCGTTGGAGACCCAGAGAGCCCACACTGATGTGGAGGGCGAATGCTTAAGGGTGAACCCAGCGGGGCATGTCAGGGACCTGGCCGGGAACTACCCTAGAAAGGCTGTTCACCTCGAGACAAGGCTTTTACTTCCCAGGCCCCTGTGCAGTTTCCACAGTCAGGGCTGAGGTTCCGCAGCGTCAACCCCTCTTTCCTCAGGAGGATCTAACTATTTCTTTTTCTTCTCTCCTGTCTTTTTCTTTTGGGTGCTGGCCAGAGCCTAAGGATGCTTTTTAAAGTCTCTAATCAAAGATCTGCTTCCCCACTCTTTTTTTTTTTTTAAATTAATTAATTTTTTTTCTTGCTCTTTTTCTAAAGCCCCCTCTCACTGTGTGGCTGTGGCCACCAGATGGCTGACCTCCATGTTTATCTGCTCCTTTCTCCTTCTCCAGGCAGTGAGATTTACAGCTTATCTACTCTGGCTTTCCCTTCTAAATGCTAATAAAATATCCTTGTGCTTCCCACTTGAGTATGCTAATTTTTTATTAATGAAACTAAGAACCCCATACGGAGCCCCTGATTACCATGGTATATGACGGCTGTGCTCTCACCTGGTCTCTGGGGCTGACTCACCCAGAACTCCCCCGTCATATCCATAATCTGCCTGCCCAACATTCGCCCACAAGATGGGATCCAGTATCCTAGCCCGCCATTAATCTTGGCAGGACCTCACCCTTCATCTCCCATGCCCTGGAGATGACTCCCTTCCACTGACCAAGCTCATGCCACCCTCTGCAGAGTCGAATCCTGCACACCAGCCAGAAGCCATGCTCTCTCCAACTCCAGCAGACACAGAACATTTGTGACAGTGACTTGTCTACTCATGGTGTCCACTGTCCCAAGGCATTCTGTTGCTTTATCATTATTTAACCTTTCACAAGCCCTGTCTTGCCTCTAGGTGAAAGGGTGTGCCATCCATCACAGCAAGGATAGGGCTTAGATATATTTCAGTGCTACTGTTTAGCAGTGAACTTTTCACTCACTGTTTTCTTTTTCAAATAATTTTAAATAAAGGACAAACAGGCAAAATCCCTGCAGTGGCCCCTCAGAACACAGATCATTTGCATGGAAGAAGGCATGTTGGAATGTTCCAGAATGTGCTCTGACTCTTGAAGTGGCCACCTTGGGGGCTGCAGCTAAGAGGTCAGACCTCTTCCACTAACTGCAAGGCTTCTCCTCTCCCCCCGACTCTTGATCTAACATCTAGTGAACGTAATGTATTTTTACCATTGCCATAGTTTATGATCATTTAGAAAATGCAAAAAAGTTTCACTGTATTAAAAAAAGAAAATATGAAAAGTTCAGAAAGTCTGAAAAGAAAAAAATGAGATCATCTACAGTTCAGCCGTCAGGAACAAATTTCTATGACATTTTTATCCATTTCCTTCATTTGTCCCAGAGGAGGCACCTCAGGCCTTTCCAAGTTGCAGAGTTTCAGAGAGTCAGGTCTCACCCTGGGGCCAGCCTTGGCCTTCTGTATAGACACACACTCCAGAAGGAACACAACGCCCTCTTATAAAGGCAAATATAGGCTGTTAATTCCCGCCCTCTGCTCTGTGGCTCTCCTCTGCCCTCCACTCTGCACCATTGCCTTCCCACATCTGGAGGGACGTTATCTGCACAGATTATCACTGGAAATGCTAGGGTGACCCAGCTGCTGCCCAGGGCTGGATGGCCCAGGGGTAGAGACATAAAACCTAGTCCCCTATAGCTGTCACAGAGTAGACATACACATACACACACACACACACACACACACACACACACACACACACACACGCACACACGAAGCAAAAAGGAATCACAAAATGGTAAAAATAAACCCTATAGCTCTCAAAGAAGGAAACGCTTCTCAAAAAAGGGAATGCTTCCGGGGATAGTATAAAAACAAAAAACAAAAAACAAAAACAAAAAAAAACAACAATGTATGCAATAGTACTAGAGCTTGGTCATGCATGGAACAGCATCCCAGGTAGGAACAGAATGAGCACAGTCCTGAGCTCAGATGGGTGTGAGCCACTGCCATACTTACTGGAAATCCTGGCAGCCCGGGGACACCGTCCGGCCCCTGCAACACACCAAAGACAAAGAGTTCTTAGAGTCAGAAGCACTGTGCCTCAGGAACCACTGTCCCTCAGGAGGGCAAAAGCCCAGGCCTGTTTAATCCAGAGGGTCTACTGTTCCCCAGATCTGCCAAAGATCCAAGCCTATTTCCACCCAGTGTGAATCACTGTCCCATTTTGTAAAAGGGGGTGCTGAGGATTGGGAGGGAAAGTGCCACCAGATCACACAGCTAGTTAACAATGGAGGCAGGGACTGTCCTCAAGCACCCACAGGCTCACACTGCTCCCCAAGCTGCCGCTATTCCTCACTGAAGCTTCCTCTGCATGATATCACTCAATGCAAAATCCTCTGGAGTGATGGACAGCATGGGAACCTGGGTAAGTCAGTCCCGGAGATGGACCTGAGGATAGGCTGCAGGGAGAAGTAGGTGCATGCTAGGAGTAAGACTTTTATTAAAGAGATGGTGATTTTAAAGGACCTGGCAAACAGAGTGTGTACTTCACCACACAGGGTCACAGCCCCCATTCCTGCCACCTCCAGAGATTGGATGCTATTAAAGGGATATGAGCCTAACAGGTCAGATTAGATAGATAGATAGATAGATAGATAGATAGATAGATAGATAGATAGATAGATAGATAGGTGGGTGGGTGGGTGGGTGGGTGGATGGGTGGATGGATGGATGGATGGGTGGATATCCTGGGAGATGAGGCTGGACCCCAAGGCTCCTATGGCCAGCACTTTTTTCCTGCCTGATGCCCATCAGATGCTATGGGAGTTTATTGAACAAAGGGAAACCACTTCCTTCTTTTGAGACCCTATCTAGTGTGGGCCAATGCAAAAGCCTCGAGGGAGTCATGTGAGACCCTTGCATGTTCCTTTCCTAGTCTCTAAAATGGTGTGAGAATGGCTGAAGTTAGCCTCAATCCTCCTCTGGCTCCAGTGTCCCGTTAGGACAGTCCTGTTCTAAGAAATGAGACTCAGCCAACACATGCAGGCCCCCGGCATTGCCCGGATGGCATGGTACTAGTTGGTCTCTGATCTCACACAGAGCTCTTTGGTGCATGGGACTGAAAACATCTGCTCCACTGAACGCAACTCTGCACAATGAAATTAGTATTAAAAAAACTTCTCAAAAATTCAGCTTTCCTTTCTTTTGACTTCGATATAGACTCTGGCTCTATGCTCCAGGAGCTTCAAGGATTCCAACCCAACCCAGCACTTCCAGTGGGGGGTTCTGGGTAGAAGCCTTACTCAGGGGGCAGCCACAGATACAAACCGGAGGTCCCGCAAGTTCAGGAATGTCCGAGAAATTCATGAATCCATTAGTGACGTTGAACAAAGACTGAAAGAGAAAAATTACTCAGTGAGGACGAAGGACGGCATGTGCTCCTCCCCGCTTCTGGCAAGGAGGCCCTAGCTGAAGTCACCCAGCATGGAGAACATTGATCACACCCCAAAGCCACTGCCAAGCATACCCAACCCCCCAACTCCCCATCAAACAGCCCCAGTCTGCCTGTCGTTTTCCTTTTTAATTAACTTTAAAATTACCCAGTAGATGAATGCCTTCTCTCTTTCAAAATTGTAAATACATGTATACATGCATACATACATACATGTGCCCATTTATAATATATATATATATATATCTGTGTATGTATGTATGTATGTATAAAATAACTCATGTATGTCATTATTTTACATAAATGGCATCAGGCTGTGTGAACTCCCCTTCAACTCATTCTTTTCTACTCAATCATCTTGTGTGGAGAGCTTTCCATGTGCAGTTCTGGAAGACATCTATTTTTAGTTTGAACAGACTGTCAGGGAGCTCTCCAAAGGGGCTGTGCAATTACACTTCCCCCACAAGCACTCAAGATTGTCTATTTCCCCACACACTTGGCACTTTTAAATCATACTCTTTTCCTCTTAACTCTGGTCATTCTTTTTCCAGGTCTTTGGGACTTTTTTTTTTCCCTCTGGCCTTTCTCTTGTCTGTCTGCCTGGTTGTTATTTTCTTAGAAATGCTGTGGTCTTTCTCAAAGGCCTAGTATGTGTATATCTGATGGACAGAGGGATGGATGGATAGATGGATGGATGGATGGATGGATGGATGGACAGGAGACATACATCTGATCCAGTCACAGTAGCTTCTCTCCATAACTCCAGTGACCCCCCAAGCCTGCTGCCCACTGTCAGTGAGTTTCTGGTGTCCTGGCACAGCCCACACAGTTCTATCTCCTCCCTTGACTCAAGGTGCCACTGCCACCAGGACACCAGAGTCACTGAGAGTCCTAGCCTCATGCCTGCTCAGGAAAACCCTCCTCCCTTGTCTAGACCCTGCCAAAAGATACTTCCTCCAGAAAGTCCTCCTTGATTTCTCACATCTCAAACTCACTTTCCTCCCCTGTTCCAGCTCTCTTTGGTCTCTGGCCTCTGGGTCACACTCTCCCCAGTCATCCTCTTAACTGCAAGGCGTGTGTGTTTCTTAGTCACCTTTAAACCCTGGGCTGGTGCAGAGTGTGTGTGCATGAGTGTTTGCATCGGAGCGTTAATGGTAGACATGGAGATTTAAATGACACTCAGGTGGGGACAGGCAGAAGACAAGGAACATGTAGGAGGACAGGCATGTTACCAAGCCTTTGTTTCGTGATGTGGATTAATGACATCAAAACCTCAAGTTACTACTTCCTTGGGAATGGAGGTCAGTGTCGGGAGAGGCTTGCTTTGTTCATCCATGTGGAGAGCTTTCCAAGTGAAATTTTGGAATCTGTTTGTTAATGGTTTTTTTTTTTTTTTTTTTTTTAAACAAATTGCCAAAGAGCCATCCAATGAGCTCATCTGAAGATACCTCCCTGACAAGAACTGGCCCTCAGGGGTACAACCCTACAACCCTGGCTTCTCTTCGTCTCTTTACTCCCACCCTGGAAGACGGGAGATGCTTCCTGACGGCAGTCTGGGGCATGCTCGGCACTATCCTTCTCTCTCTTGTCTGACTCTGGAGTTAGTGAGCAGGCACGTGCTGCTCCATAGGGTGGAGGCTGCCAACCTCAGCATACCCTCTGCCAGCAGTGAGCAGGCAGATGCAGCTCTCCCACAGGGTGAAGGCCGCTAGCACGCCCTTTGCCGGCAGTGAGCACGTGATCTCAGGCTTGTGTCTCCAGCTTTGGCTTTCCTTCTCGGCTGGCCTCAGGCTCTGAGGCCAGTCGAGAAGGAAAGTCAAACTTATTTGGGGCTTCCTCAAAACTCTAGTACTTTCTAGGCTGCCGTCTGACCCCTGATCTTGGCAAGCAGAAGAGCAGACTCTGCAGGTCCTATGTAGGAGAGCAGTGGCAATGGGGGGGGGGGGTTACGGACGGATAGGGGGGCATGCTGGCAGGCTCAGGCCCTGACACTCTGCATAGCCACCAGCCCTGTAGTCCTGAAGGGTCGGGTGACCTGCCGTCCCCTTTAGCAAAGCAGAAAGCATGTGGCCAAGCTCCAGCCTGGATGATACTCACACTGGACAGGACCTCGACACGCCCAGGTGGCCCCCTGGGCCCAGGGGGCCCCACAGTGCTCGTTCCGTCCATTCCCCGTTCACCCTAGGCAGAGCAGAAGGGTGTAAGAACAAAACTCCCAATCCACGGATAATGAACCTTCTGGAAAGACCCCACCTCAGATGGGCTAACTCACCTTGGGTCCTTGTTCTCCTTTTTCTCCTTTGGGACCCTGACAAAAATAACCGAACAGATGAAGAGACAGTCTTTGGTTTTCCCCTGTCCTCTGGCGCATTCTGTCTACTTGGCATCTCGTCTTCTCTCCCTAAGCCCTGCAGTCAATGCTGTCCCAGGTGATGGGATCAAAAGTGAGGGGGAAATTCCCCTTCCAGGGTCAGAAGAGAAGTACCCACAGAGGGCAAGCCCCAGAGGCCCTCTCCCAGCATGGAAGTGTCCCCTGACTCTGCCCTCAGATCCTGTGTGTACAGGAAGCTCTGTTTTCTGTGCCAGAAGTTACTCCCTGGGCACTTGGCTCTAGGTTCCATGTGACAGAGATCATAAGATCCAGTGGAGTGTCTTCATTCAGGCACACCACACAGGACAAGGGTGATGCCTTCTGGGGATGAGGAAGCAGGCAGAGCACCTGCTGGGAACACAGGGTTTTTTTTTTTTTTTTAAGGGGCAAAGTGACTCTAACATGGTGATGGGAAGCCATGAAGCAGAGATGCTCAGTAATGAGGAACTGGCCAGTGGGGACAAAGATGACTATCAAGTTTCCCTACGTGAGTCTGTGCAAAGCTTCTATGTGGCCCCTGGAGAAAGAGCCTGCAATGAGCTCCTTACAGGCGGCACAGCTCAGGGCTGGAGGCACAGCGAGTGTGAATCATCGAAAAGAGAAAGGCCAGGGGGGCCCCACAGCCTCCTCACTCAGGTATGAGAGCAGGACAGCGTTCATAACAGGGTTCATAAAAGTCTACCTACACTTGGAGAGGAGGGCCCCGGTTTTCTGGGTTTGCTCAGTAGCTGGCTGTCGCCCGAACCTTCGATGTCCTGGGGAAGAAACAGAAGCAAGGATTTCAGAGCTCACTGCCAGGTACCTGCTTGTGCCAGGGGGAATGCTTGGGACTGTGGGCTCACAGGGACTCAGCAAAACCTCCACCCTGGGGTCAGCACCCAGCGTGCCGTGCCTTCTAATGGTCCTTACTAACCACCACTCCAGCCACAGGAAGGGCAAAAGTACCTCAAATCCAAGTTCTGTTGTACATCCAGGACCTGGGGGTCCAGGGGGTCCTGGAGGCCCTGGTGGTCCCATGACCCCAGGAGTACCAACTTGCCCGTTTTTCCCTGGGGGCCCTGGTAAGCCTCGGTTGCCAGGGTCTCCCTGTAAGGAAGAAGACAGGCTAGTTACCAACTGCAAATCCCCCATGGAAGGAGAGCATGCGCACCTGAGTAAGGAAATGACTCCTCGGAGCTAATTAAGTTGGGGAATTCTCCAATGGGCGCTGCTTGACGGCGCAGGACAGCTGTCTCACTAATTGACATTTCCCTTCCCCGAGGTGCTCACTAGAGGGGTGAGGAAGGGGGATCGTTGCAGGGGCATGCTCCCCGCTGTCCCGGCTGGCCTGTCTTCCCTGGGCCACCTCTCTGAGGAGTGCTTCTCTTTGCTCTGTGACATTAATGGGTTCGCTCTGCTGGCCCAGGGGTACACCAGGAGCAAAGGAAAGAGGAGGGAGGGAAAAGCTGTCCTCAATTACCTTCTCGCCGACGGAGCCGTTAGGTCCTCTTGCTCCCTGAAATACACGAACACAGGGGCCACTTAGGAGGTGATGCATGAGGCGTGCTCAGAGGGAAATGCAGAATTACAGACAAGCGAATAGCAGGATGCGACAAACAGGATCGTTCTGTCTGGGTTCGGCTGGTGTCTCCGAGCTGAGCACATTACCATAGGTAATGGTCTACTGAACACGTCAGGTCCAAACCTTAAGAAACTCATTCCTCAACAATTAACACCCCCTCCCGAGATTAGACTAAAGCAGTTGGCACGAAGCAGGAGAGCCCAAAGTATTCTCTTGGGGACTCACACTGAGGCAGCTGCCAGCACCCCCAAACCTCTACCATGACAGAGGCAAGGGCTGTTTCCAACTTTAAACCAAGGGAAGAGGCAATGGTTAATTTTGATTATCAAGTTAGTGGGTTGAGAAGCGCCTTGCAGATTTGTAAAGCACACTTCTGGGCCGGTCTGTAAGGGCGTCTCCAGAGAGCATTACCTAAGAGGCGGAGACCTGCCCTGAATGTGGGTATCAACATTCCATAGGCTGGGGGCCTACGGGCCAAGAACCAGGGAGGCAGCTAGCACAGCATCCACACCACCACCTCTCTCTCTGCTGCCAAGAGAGTTCTCAGGTTTGTTCTGTTACGTCATCTTGTGGCCATGATTCTGCCTCGCCATGTCCCAGACACAGACAATGGAGCTAGGCAGCTAGGCCTGAACCTCTGGAGTGTGGGCCCGAGTAAAGCTGTTCTTCTGCAGGAGACAGTCCGGCCATCATGTGGCCGGCCACACAGAAGCTGTGACACTGATTATGACATGTCCACCACAGAAGACTGCATCTCTCCTTGCGCCTTTCCTGGGCTAGATCCATAGGACTAACCTACATCGCCCATAGGATGGGTGGTGAGTCTATAATACCCATCCTCAGATAAGCTGGTAGTTACCTAGCCTGAAATAAATAGGAATGTCAACTGACAGCTGACAGGGCCTCGGCTGTGGAGAGGAACCGCAGAGACCGAAATGCCCTGCCTGGTGGTGGAGAACATAAGAAGAGCAGGAGGCAGCCCAGAAGGAAGCAGGGGTAGGGGTGGCCCTGGAAGAAGCAAGAAGTAGGGGTGCCCCAGGAGCCTCTGGCAGGGAGACAGGTTGAGTTTCTACATCAGGACAGCCATGCAACACCAACCAGTTGCCCTCACCTTCTAGGCACAGCCCTGTCAAGGAGCACCTGGGGGTCTTAGTACCACAGGAACAATGAGAGTTATTTTCGGGAGCAAAGAGAGGGCGGGGCTGGGAAGCCTAGAAGGTCCATGGGCACCCAAAATGAGATCAGTTTCGGAGAAACCCTGTTGATGGACAGTCTACTCCTCCACTCTTACTGAGAAACTCACAAGCCTCAGGCGTAGCCACTGCCACTTCCTTAATGGTCAATGCCAACAGAGGCCTAAAACCTCAAATGAGATGCCCGTTTTGAAAGTAAACACACAGGAAGACTCACCGATCTGAGGGAAGGAGACAAAGTCAACAACGGAACAAAGGAAAGAGAGGCAATCAGAGCTTTATTACTCTGAGAGAGAAGGGACGATGTTATATAATCATGAAACAAGAGCAAACTATTGTGAGATGAGAATTCCCTCAGAACAGTGGTCATGAAAAAGAACCAATTAGGAGTCATGGATATAAAAACATGTCATGGTTGAAATGAAGAACTCTACAGGAATGAAAGAGACAGACCCCGAGGAGAAAATTAACAGAGAAGACCAAAGACCAGGGTACAACATTGCTGCAAATAGCAGCACAAAAGAACAAAAGACCCAGAAGGAATGACCAAACAGAGCTCAGAGGATAATCAGGAACTCCAACATCCGATCAAAGCCAATAAAGCTATTCTTTATTATTAGAGAATAGAGAAAGCGACACATGAGCCGACAGTAACTGGACATTCCTACACTTGACCTTAGCAGAGGGCGGAGGGGCCACACTCAGCATTTCTGGAAAAACAAAAAACAAAAACACCACAACCCAGAGGTCTCCAGACTAAACAACAACAGCCCACTCCGAGGCTATTTAGTACCAAATGGAAGAATACATCTTTTAAATAATCCATATCCAGGGTTGGAGAGATGGCTCAGCGGTTAAGAGCACTGGCTGCTCTTCCAAAGGTCCTGAGTTCAATTCCCAGCAACTACATGTTGGCTCACAACCATCTGTAATGAGATCTGGTGCCCTCTTCTGACCTGCAGGGATACATGCAGACAGAACACTGTATATATGATAAATAAACAAATCTTAAAAAAAAATCTATATCCAGTGACAGTATATGGGGCATTTCAATACATCAAGCAAAGGGAGAAGCCAGATGGCCTTAGGTAGGCTGAGAATGGGAGTGAATCTGAGTTCATCCCGGATAAGAGCAGACACTACCTTCAAACCTCAGGGGCAAATGGCTTCAAATTTAGAATTGCATACACAGTCAAATAAAACACAATCTCAGTATTATGTTTGGAACTCCCTATCTAGACCAGGCTGGCCTCAAACACATAGAGATCCACCCCTCTGCCTCCTGGGTGCTAGAATTAAAGGCATGCATCTCCACACTAGACTAAAAGAAGAACTTTAAACAGCCAAAACCTGGAAAGTTTGCCGTGTGCAGACCCTCTCTGAAAACACTACAGGGATGTGGTCCTGCAAGAATGGTTGAGGAGGAAACACAGGATGCAGGAAGCAATGAAAGGTGGGACCTTGACTGCTTTTATAACTACACATTCACTCAAAATGCTGCCTAAGGCAGAACTTCTCTGTCCTCCTGTCCGAGCCCAGCACACTTCCTTGTCCAGTGGCTCGGCCAAGACACAGGTGGGAAGTCAGGAACTGAATACTTTTCAGATTCCTTCCAGCTGGCTCTGGGAACACTAACTGGAGATGAGCCTCAGCAAAGTTCTTCAGATAGACAACAAAAGTGAGAGCATCCCTGGAGAGCCCAGCACAAAGACAAGCCACCATAGACCCACAGGCAGCATCCTCCCTCTCTTTCCAGGCTCCCTGCTCAGCCCCCAGGGGCTCCCTGTGTGAGGCTCAGGATTCTGCCGGTGAGGGTGGTCCAGCAGTGCCTGGTATGTGTGGGGCATGGGGGACAAGGCCCCACATCTCAGTACCAGCTCCTTGGTTGGAAGACCCTGCTCAGTCTTTGGGCTAATGATGGAGCAGTGCAAGTGACAGGTAGGCCTGCCGGAGGAGGCACCAGGCTCCCAGGGCAGGGAGAGCATCCTGGAGCCCTCCAAACTGTACACTCAGAACCTTCTGTCGCTGGTCCTAGGCAGCCCAGCAGATCCTCCAGTGCCTCCCCTAGCCCGGGAGCCACCAGGGATGACCTGGCTCTCTGGGGAGGCAGCAGGAAATGGAACACTAAGCAGAGGAAGTAGTCATGGCCAAGAACCATCACCCCACCCCACCCCAGTGGCCAACACAGGCAAACTGAGCAACTGAGTGAGACCTTCTTTCTTCCTGGGGTACAAGTGTGTCTCAAGTCACTGAGTTTCTCTTCAGCTGCTGAACGTGGAGGCTGCAGTTTCTTAATTCTGTTCCTCTTGAGCATGAGCAATTAGTTACACATTGCATCCTGCCTGCTTCAGCCCCTCCTTAAGAAAAGTATCTACTTCCAGCCACACATCAAACCACTAGCGGGGCTCTTGTGACCCACACCTAAAGTTGCCCCATCCGGTGCTAGAAGTTCCCAGGAATCCACAAGGATGACCCCAGCCTAGACTACTAGCAATAGTGGAGAGGGGGTCTGAATGGGCCTAAGTCCAGTCATCAGACTGGTGAACACCTTGACTGTCATCATAGAGCCTTCATCCAGTGACTGATGGAAGCAGATGCAGAGATCTACAGCCAAGCACCAGACCAAGCCCCAGGAGTCCAGTCGAAGAGAGAGAAGAGGGATTCTATGAGCAAGGGGCATCAAGATCATGATGGGGAAACTTACAGATACAACCAAACAAAGCCAGTGGGAACTCATGAACTTTAGACTAACAGCTATGGAGCCTCCATGGGACTGGACTAGGCCCTCTGCATAAGTGAGACAATTGTGTAGGTAGCTTGGTCTGCTTAAGGGGACCCTGGAAGTAGGATCAAGATCCATCCCTAGTGCATGAGGTGGCTTTTTGGAGCCCATTACCTATGGTGGGACACCTTGCACAGCCTTGATGCATGGGGAGGGACTTGGAACTACCTCAACTGAATGTACCAGGCTCTGCTGACTTGCCATGGGAGGCCTTTTCTTGTCAGAGGAGGGAATGGGGGATGGATTGTGGCAGGGGGGAGGGGGGATCCTGGGGGTGAAAGGAAGTAAGAGAGGGGGATCTGTGTTTGGTATGTAAAATGAATAAAAAAATTCTTAATAAAAAATAAAAGCTGCCCCATCTCTGAAAGCATTCAGCTGTGCCTCCAACTGATTCCGTTCAAGAGGGTTATTATCCATGAAGTGGAACGCTGCATTGTTTCCCATTGCTTTCCCAAGTTTGTTTAAGCCAAATGCATCTTGTAGCAGATCGAGAGGAAGTTCTAGAAGGCATCTTAGTCCCTGATCTTTCTGATTATCTTAGGCAGCTTGAACATGCTGAAAAGGTAGGACTTGGGTCCAGTCCACGGGCTCACAGGTATGGGGGCCAGCAGTTTGGAACACGAGCAGATTAGCCAGGGAATGGAAGGCTCTAACCTATTAGGACTTTCATGAATGAGTAGCGTGAAAACTGAGAATCTGATAAAGAGTTCAGGAAATAAACTTCACTTCCGAAATGATGCAGTCGCACACGTCACTCCTTAGCTGGAAGGGATTTGTGTGCATCGAGTCTAGGCACTTCCTTGGAATTCCAGCTAGTAGAGCTGTGTGGCTATGAGTGGGAAATTGTAGAGACTCATTCCTACAGCAGAATGAGTCACAACAGTGTCCCGTGTCACGAGATCATAGTTTAGAATTTTAAAAAATTGGTTTTGGCCTTTGAGACAAGTCTTACTATGCTGGCCTGGCTGGCCTGGCACTCACTATGCAGACCAGGCTAGCCTCCCACTCTTAGAGACCCTCCTGCTTCTTCCTCCACAGCACCAGGATTAAAGGTGTGCACTACTGTGCCTGGCCCGCAGTTTTGAACTTGTGATGATAAATCTTGACTGTCAGCTTGATTGGCCTGAGAGTGTCGAGATCAGCAAAGGCACATCTGGGCATGTCTGTAATGGCATTTCTAGAGAGGATTAAATAAGGATGGGGACCCCATCTTGAGTCTGAGTGGCATGTCCCATAGACAGGGAGTTCAGATGGCACAGGAGTGGAAAAATGAGAGCTCCTAGCTCAGGCATGCACTCTGTGTTCTGGCCAACATGAGCTGCTCTGCACTGCCCTATCTCTGGACTCCCATGTGACGGCCTGAGCCTCTGACCCCGATCCACTATGGACTCCTACCATGATGGCCTGAGCCTCTGACCCCTGCTCCACCACAGACTCCCACAACAATGAACTGAATCTCTAAACCTGAAAGCCAAAGCAAATCTTCCACTTTTTCTCAGGTGTTTTGTCGCAGCAACAAGAAGGCTAACACAATTCAAAGGAAATTTGGCTGGTGATAAACTGAATTATCAAGGGCATTATGAGATGTCCTTGATAATATACAGAAACAAAGAAGAAACAGCAGATACAATACTATAATATGCGGCCTTTTTTTTCTTTTTTCAGTGTTATCTGCTGAGTTCGCTTATGGGGTTAGTATTAACGATAATTTCAGCTCAGTAGCCCTTGCAGACTGCAGTCTCTTTGGTTTTATGGAAGCCTGTCATGCAAACGTTGTGCCAAAGCCAGCTGATAATAAAAGAGGAAAGATGAGAAGCCAAGCCAATATTGTGATGTGCTGGACTTCAAACACATCTGGTTTCTGGATTCTGGGAAAAAGCAGCTCGATGCTCAGTCTTCAAGGGTACCCTGATGTTATTACAGGAATCACGTTCCAAAGCAGATTGGGATTGCTAAGAAAAAGAGACAGTGGGCGATGGTGTCATCAAATTTCTCTTCTAACTTACAGAAAGATGGAAGCTGGATCTACAGTGAAATTTCAAGCCCAGTGAGATTACTCAAAGACAGTTCTAGGTAGCTCACGGTTCTCCAGCAATTATGGGTAGCTGAGAAAACTTCAGAGTACAGGCTTTCTCCTGTGTGGGTGCCTCAGAACCTCTCAAGGCTGAGGAATAACATGAACGCCCTGGATCCTGGGGACTATGTCCTCAGTCACAGCAAAGCTGGTTGCAGAAGCTGCAGTGTATAATGGAGCAATGTCTGAGGACCCTGCTCTCTAGTAAGCTCCTCAGCTTCCTTACCAGATGTGTTATGCAGCTGGGAAAATAGGCCACTTCCACCTCTTTCATCCCGGGATAAAGATGTCAGTTCAACTTAATGTGGGGAAAAATAAAAGATATTTCTATTTATACTAAACACTATAAATAATCTACCAGATACATTCTTAATGATCATCCACTCTTTGATGACAGGTTTATGTTTGATAAGGATGGTTTTATATATAAATGTATCAAATTTCCCAGACAAGTAAAGCAAGTCTTATTAACTATGTATAGGGGGAGGGGAACTTCACTTTGAGCTAGGCATGGTAGTGCACAGGTGTAATTCCAGCATTTGGGAGGGAGAGACAGCAGTATTAGAGTTCAAGGTCATCCTCAGCTCTTATAGAGTTTGAGGTCAACCCGTGCTGCATGAGACCCTGACTCACAACCACAAGAACACACACACACACACACACACACACACACACACACACACACACACACACAATTGTTTTGATAATTGCCTTGGCTGTTCTGTGTGCCTGGCTAATAGTATAAGAAAAGACTTGCTACAGCTCAGTCTATCCAGCCATGGTAGGTGCTGCCTGGGCCTTATCAATGAAGCTGTGTGGGTCAAAGACAGACACTGGCAGAAGTCAGTAAACATACCACTGGACCTAATTCTCATAAAGGCCCAAGACACTCACTTCCGACCGTCTGGTTCCCCTTCAACTCTCCAAATGCAAATGTGCAAGTCCTTTTAGAATCTGCTTTTGCTTAACCCAAAGCAAGCCATGTACTAGCTCAACACTGGACCTCTTAACAAATCCCAGGGCTAAGCCAGCCAAGCAGTTGATGTCCAGCAGTTATCCAGGGTGGGCTCGCTCTTCCTCCCTGCTGCTCTGTGAGCCAGCTGCAGGCCACAGGAGCAGCTGCAGCAGCACGTGGGTGTCTTCAGGCAGACAGTGTGGGAGGTTCAGCCGCTGTTTCGGAGGTGCTGGCAAGGTAAGTGTGGGTTGGTGGTGCTTCCTGAAGACCTAGATTTCTTATGAGACTGTTGGTTTGTATAAGTTTCCTAAAATTTCACAGTTGTTTCTTTTTCTGAGAAATTCATTTGCAAGAAAAATCAGGTTACTCTTTCTGTTAAGCTGATGGAAACTGGAATTTGATTCAGCGGCCATGATGTCCTGGCAGGAAGCATTTCAAACATGTTCATAGAGGTGATGCACAGGCCTGACCTTCTATCCAATGGGTTCCTGAACCCTTGTTCACCCTGTTAGCACTAGTGCAAAGTGACTTGTTTTTATTTATTATCTCTCTTTGCAGAAAGAGACTCATCTTCATTCTGGCTGGGAAGGCTGCAAGGGCAGGAATTGCCTTCTCCCAAGAGCACCAGCATGGACTGTAGAAAGACAGACCTGCCAAGAAAGACTGAAGGCAGGCTCACTAGACAAGGAGCTTAAAATGGTGTTTGAAGAATAGTTCACTTATTCATCAAAGGCTAATAGAGGCCTGTGCTAGGTTGGAAGGCTGTTCCCGCTCTATGGCAGGATAGGATGCAGGGTACACGGGCAGGCTAGCATCTCCTGTGTTGCTGGCTAAGAAGGCTCTCAGCGACATTAACCCTGTGTCACAGAAGAGGAAGAAGGAAGGGTACTGGAAGAGTTGAGAGAAGTCAGGCATAATGGAACATCTGTAATCCTAGCACTAAATGTTCGGCAGCGGGATCACAAGTTTGAGGCAAACCCTGGCTACGCGTAGCATGACCCTGTCTCAACAAACCCCAAACAAAATACCCAGCCCAAATGAAAGAGTGAGGAGGAAGACATTCAGTATCCTCCTCACCTTATCCACAGTTCCACTCTCTGTGGTTTCAGTTTTCCAGTTAGCCATAGGCTGAAATTATTAAATGGAAAATTTCAGAAACGAGCAATTCACAGTTTTAGATTACACACCATTTTGAACAGCATAATGAAACCTTACAACTTTCTGCTCTGTCCTACCTAGGATAAATGTAATTCCTTGGTCTAGCATGTCCGCGTTTATATACTACCCACCCATAAGTAATTTAGCTGCCATCTTGGTTATCAGATCAAGTACAGTATTATTCTCCCAGTCATTAGCCTTTATTTTACTTAATAATGGCTCCGAAGTGAAGAGTAGTGATGCTAGCAATTTTGTTATATTGTTATAAATATTCTATTATATCATTAGTTACTGCAGTTTTTTTTACTATGCTTAAATTTAGAAATTAAATGGATATGTATGAATGTACAAGGAAAATAACATATGTGGGTGGGAGTCTTGCAACATAACCCCTAGGATAAAGGAGGGTCACTGTATCTGAACTGAGCCTTGACACAAAGAAGTGGCATTCCAGACAAGGCCAATACCACATGCAGAGGCTTAGAAGCTGGCAGGGAGGAGCATGCAGCAACTGGCCTGTCGCTCAGAGCTGTACCAGTGAGCAGTGGGCCATGCGCTACGGAGACAGCTGGTGCTAACCAAGAAGGGCACCATGGCTTTGCCCAGCAGAGTGCCACAGGCATTTCCCCAGAAGCCAGTGAGTGCCTGCGACATGAAGGTGGACAGGCACAGGTCGAGGGGTGACTATGGGTGGAGAGGACATCAATGAGGGTCCTATTGCTACAGGGTAGGCAGAAGAGATGAATGTCTGGTCAGGATGCACAGAAAGGTCACAGGTATGGAGGTCACTCTTGATAACTAGCCAGTGGTGACGGGGAAGGAAAAAGGAGAAGAGGGAGACAGGAAAGACCCAGGAAGACCCAGGGGAGATGGCGGCACCACCATTCACGGATGCTAAGGCACGCAGGAGTGGGAAAGAGAAACAGACGAGAGAACTGTGAACCCAAGGGTAGGATATCCAATAGAGACGACCAAAGAGAATAACAGAGAAGATGAACTGGGGTTAGGGCTCAGGAGAGCCAGGCTGGCTCCCGTGCTGGAACTCATACTGTCCCATACCTTCTCTCCTTTCATCCCAGGCTTGCCAGAGGCTCCATCAAGTCCAGGCTGTCCCTCGGGGCCCTGGGGAATATCAGTGACAATCAGCTCACAGCATCTCTGCTAAAACCCACACAAAACCCTACCTAGGAAGGAGGGAAGGTTGAGGGAACTTGAGACCGGTGAGCACAGGGTTAGCTGCTTGTGGCCGGAGACAAGCATCCTCTGTCTGAGTCACATCTCCTCGGAGGAGATCAGGAGCGGGGCAGGACCAGATGGTCTCCAAGGCTTTCCCACAGCAGGCCCAGCTCTGGTATCCTGTGGCAGGTTCCAAAGCCTGCGTGAGCCTGCATCCTAACCCCCATGTAAATCAGGAAAGCAGTGTGTGCAGTATGTTCTTGGCTGTCCTTCCATGGAGTCTCAGCAATGACTCAGATGGGGAAGATTTTGGTCCCCAGCCCTGGGTGGTACGGGGTCTGTAATCTGTATGTGAAAGGAAGCCCCATGATGACAGGGTGAAGGAGGAGGCTTCAGTTGCTCACCGGAGGTCCTGGCTCCCCTGTGGGTCCATCCTCTCCCGGAGAGCCAGGGGGTCCCGTGAAAACATCAGTTCCTGGTTTTCCTGGAATCCCAGGTGATCCAGGTGGGCCTGGGGGGCCTGGAGGACCCTGAAAGACAGTGTTAGAAACAATGAGGGAGTGTGAATATACCAAGCATGCTTTTTTACTTTTTTTCCAATCCTTGCAACAATCCCGTAGGAAAATGGGGTTCTCACCTTGCACAGGGAGAAACTGAGGCTCAATCAGACAACATGACTCAAAGACTCATACACACACAGTTGAAAAGCAGGGAGCTGGCATTTGAATGTAAGGTTTTCCAAGCAGATCACACCAGGCTTTCTCCCAAATGGTGTATACAACAAAGAACCAATTAGCTGGAATCCCAGAGGAGCCCTGGTTAATTCTGCTTTCTAACTGACGGTAAGGTCAGCCAAGCAGCCTGTGTTTGACCTTGTCCCGAAACACTTTCCAAAGTGGACTTGTTTCCTCAGCCTCCTGCTGGCTGTCAGATCTCACTAGCCCAGACTGTTCCTGGTAGATCCACTGGGCTTTCACGCCACTGAGTGCCAGGGCCTTTCCAGCCCTGGTAACGGGCAGGGGCAGCTAAGTGGAACTTCAATCTAGGGCAGCCCTGGGGCTCAGGGGAAGAGCTGGAAGGCCCAAAGATGGATCTAGAACCAGCCACACTCCCTTGTGGGCAGTTTAGAGAGGACCAGTAGAGCCCCTCCTTGGGCAGGCCAGACATGTCACAGGCACCAAGAATGGGCCGAGAGCAGCCTGGGGACCCAGGGAGGACTTCACACTGGAAACTGAGTGTGAAATGCTATCCAAACCGAGAAAGGACCAGGGCAATTCTTTCACAGATGAAGAGGAGTGTGGAAGCCCTGGGTGGAGGCGAAGGCCAATGAACAAACTTGCTGTGACGGAGACAAGAACAGCTTCCAGGGAAAGGAGGAGGGTAGGGTGGAGAAGAGAAAGATCTCAATGCAAATCCAGACTCGCCCTTGGCTTAAATGAGTAAAAAGTAAAGGGGAATGTGTGATGATCCCCACAGATGCCAGGAAACAGTCCCCAAGGGGCCAATCCACTGTCATTGTTTGCCTCACCCCAAAACCTGCCCTCCTGGGTCCCCAACACCAGCCCCCAGCACCCCTCATACTCACTCTCAACAGATCCTCATTGCCCACAATGTCTCCAGAGCCTGAGCCCACATCCAGGGGCCAAACAGGGCCAGAGCCCTCGGCCTCCACTCCTACCTGCAGAAAAAAGAAATTCCCACAAGTGGATTCAGGCACCAGACTGCATAGACAGTCACGCCACCTCAGGTGCTCCTGTGTTCTAATGCCTTAAAATGTCTGTGGCCAACTTCCTTTCTGGTCTCACCTCTACACCCCTTCCCAGCTGGAGTCCCGCCTCAGCCGCCCCAGCATTCAGCCTGCAGGTGACCTGGTCTCAGCACCCTTCCAATTCCTTCTGTTTCCTCTCCAGGGAACACCTTAGTCCCTAGGTGGCCTCCCATGTGAAACCATACTGAAGGTGAGGGCTTGGATATGGCTTTATTTGATCATTAAATATGCATATGCCGTGCCCCACCCCCAGAGGTCCAAGGAGGATCGGGGTTGCAAGTTAGAGCTAGAAGCAGGAAAGTCACTGTCCTGTGGCTGTAAGAGGGAACCGTGGCAGTTTGAATGAGGATGTTTTCCATAGGCTCATACATTGAATGCTTGGTCCCCAATTAGTGGAACTGTTTGGGAAGGATTAGGAGGTGTGGCTTTGTTGGAGGAGATGTGTCACTGAGGGTTGGCTTTGATATTTCAAAAGCCCATGCCAGTCCAGTCTCAATCTCTCTCGGCCTGTAATTTGAGGATCAGATGTAAGCTGTTAACTTCTTCCCCAGCACCATGCCTGCCTGCCACCATGCTTCTTGCCATAATGATAATAGACTAACCCTCTGAAAATGTAAGCAAGCATCCAACTAAATGCCTTCTTTTGTAAGTTGCCTTGGTCATGGTGTCTCCTCACAGTAACAGAACAGTCTATGAGACAGAGGTGGTAGCAGAGGTAAGGATTCCCATTGAAGACCGTTGCTTTCATATGATGGAGGAGGGAGAACCACACAGCTAAACTCAGGGAACTTGGGAAGGCCTAGATGGGAAGCAGGGAGGACCCCCTGAGGGATGTTCAGGGTTTGTTTCCTGGTGACCAGATAAATGGGTGTCATTACTAGAGTTAGGAAGCCCAGGGAAAGGAGCAGGTCTCGAGCCAGGGTCTAGTGGAGATGTCCTTCTTGGTCCCTTAGGGTCCAGAGAACATAAAGATGTAAGTGAAATATGGAGCTGAAGCCTGCAGGGCTCCAGAACAGTGGAAGCCTGAGGTCTGACTGAAAGGAACTATAGAGTCTGGGAGTCCAGAAAGTCCCCCTCCCCCACAGCACCATCCTAGAAAGACCCACAGGATCAAGGAGGCGTCTCCTCCCAATGTCCCCTTCTTTGTAGACATTGCTCACCTTTAAGCTCTGAACCCAACTGAAGAAAGGCATTTTCTCTTATAAGAATGGCCCAGGGCATAGCCTGTCACCCTGACCCCTGCCACCAGCACTTCCCTGGTTCTCAGGGCTCAGTGGTCCTTTGTTCCTGCCTCACACTGGTAAGAGAGGGGATATGGTAGGGTAAGCTGAGCATGCACACACAATTGCATAGACCCTGATGTTGCCTAGGGTTCCCTGAGGCAACTCTACCAGAGGCTTGGCATCTGCAACCAGTGGACTGCTCATTCTCTCCACCCCTGAAGCCTCTCTGGGTCTTGACTCCTCCCAGATCTGCCTTCCTGAAACCATGGGCTTCTCCAGGCAACACTCTCAGTCCCACAGCCTGGCATAACTGGTGTTTAGGAAACGCCTTTAGATGCCAACAGTGTCCATGTGGGAACAAGGGGATGAGGGGAGGAGGAAGAGGAGGAGGGAGGAGGGGAGGAGAAAAGTGAGCCTATGAGATGTCGGCTGTCAAAAGCCTCCAGAGAAATGGCTGCCCTGATAAATACGACAAAGAATGGCTGAGCCAAACCTAAGGAGAATGGAGAGGGACATCAACAGTGAACCTCCCCACCACCGATGTGGGGGTTTTGAGGCTTCTTCTTAGGGCTCCCTGCACCCTCGGAGCCCTGCTGCCTCTGAAGTTCCCTGAAGTGGCAGAGGTGGAGAGCAAGAGGGAAACCTCACCCATAGGCCACTGGCTTTCCCAGGGCTTGCTCTCCAGAGAGCTGAAAATAGAGGCCCAGGACCAGAGCAGAGATGGAGAGGAGCCGCCAAGCTGTCACCCGTGGTGAGAGCACGAGCCCCCCGGGGAATCACATTTGGGGTCACCCTGATGTGAGAATAGATTGCTCGAGAAGTTCTTCCAGAAGACAAGCTGTACTCTTGGACTATATTGATGGACCTCAGGCAGTGTTTGTCTAAACACCCCTTCATCCTGGCTACCGCTCCACAAGTGTCCCCTATCATCACACCAGCTCTCCTGAGATCCTCCAGCTGCTGAGACACCAACCTGCGACCAGGGGCCGTGGGAGATCTTCCTCATCAACTCCTTCCCAAGAGGGAATGGCGTGTGACTCAGAAGGACCTTCCATAACAGGGAAACTGAGGCCTGTAGCGGTCAAAAGACTCAGCCAATGGAATGACTTGATTTTGAACATGGTGGGTTTTGCTGAACCTGTGGGTCATGTCTGAAGATGTGCTGTAGACAGCACAAAAACTTAAGGCACAAAATCTGAAGACTGTGCTCTCTTCCCTCCAGGAACTGTGTGACCGTGAGCAGTGTCTTAACCCGCTCTGGGCCTCGTGTGATGAATAACTGCATATAGCTAATTTATTGAGCAAGTGTGTTATGCTAGACAAAGTTTTCCACGACTCATTGACTCTCACAACAAATCAAGAGGCAGGAACCATGCTTGTGTTCCTCGGGCTTTGCAGTCGTAGGAGGCAGGGAGACGTGAAGAAATTGGTTGCAGAGGAGCAGCAGCGTCGGGCTTGCCTTGTACCCCCTGAACTGTATTGCCTCTGCAATTCGAAAGGATTCTGGGAATATTCCAGGCGGGTGCCCTCTTGACCGTCCTGACTGTGCTTTTAAGCTCTCGACACAGGAACTGGGGCATCAATGTCTGTTCACAGCTGTGCCCAACCCAGGCGTTTGGCAGCGACCTTGGCAGTGACCTGCATGGCAGGATGCTGCGCTGTGTTCACCTGTTCATTTACCGACCCCTCCTCCTGCGTATCTTCCTCCCGTGTCTCCTGCTTCTCTCCCACTCTTCCTTTCCCTCCCTCCTCCTCCTTAACCCTCCACTCTTCTTAGAGGTTTACAAAAGACTCTGGGGTTAGAGGATGTCTCAGCAGATAAGACTGGGTGCTGTATAATCACAGGTCAGAGTTCGGATCCCAGAACCCACTAACAATCTGGGCACCCCTTGCATGCCCATAACTGTAGTTTGGGGTATGCAGTGGAGACTGGAGAGTTGATAGGGCTTGTCAGCTTCAAGTCTAGTTGAGAATATGGGGGGCCTCAGGTTCAGAGAGAGACCTTGCCTCAAAAGAATAGCTGAAGAGCGATAGAGGACACTTGATGCCCAATTCTGGCTGGCACGCATGTGCGTACGCATGCTACTCCCCCACTCCCCGCCCCCATAAATAAATTAATTAAATTTTTAAAAATTCTGTCATAAGGGCTAGGAATGTAGCTCAGTGGTGAAAGCTGGTTTATCATGTACAGTTATTTATGTTTAACCCCTAGCTCTACAAACACAGAACAAACAGTACTATAAAACAAACTACTGCCAAAGCTATAAGCCTCATAGCAAAAAGCAACAAAATGCACAAAATACCTAACAGCACCCACAGTCCCACCACTGTGAAGCAACATTGCTAACATTTAGGGAGGGTGCTTCCTTCTAGAGTATGTATTTCCTAATAGTTAAGACCACACAACACTCAAGTTTATAACCATCTTCTTCCACTTAGCATGGTACAGTAAGCATTTCCCCAATACAAATAAGAATAGAAATAAGAATAATTTTAATAATGTCTAATGTTCCATTATGTGAATAGACTTTAATTGGTCTCCTTTTGTTGACTAATTAAATCATACCCAGTTCCCTCTGCTATGGGCAGATATTAAGATTACCGTCCTAGTAAACAAAATCCTTTGTGACATATCAGGTTATCTCCATTGAGGAAGAGTCTTAGAACAAAATTCCTTGCAATTGTGTGGTGGTTAACTTCTGGTTGTTAATTTTAGGGTCGCTAATATATGTGAACAGAGTTTCCCAGAAGCAGTAAGCACCCCCCCACCCCCACCCCAGACTGGCCCCACCAGCCTGCCTTCTCAGAACAGAAAACTCAAGGATACAAGGGTGGTTGGCTCAGTTTCTCCAAAACACCAAATAGAAAAATAAGGGGGGGATGCAGAGACAAAAAGACACTTGAGAGATGTATCTGTTAGGTCCAAAGGAGACTCCAATTCCCTAGACTCCAAAAGGCAGCCCAAATATCCAGCAATGGGCACAAACTGGACAACAGGAGGATTTCTGGTGGTTAGATAAAAGCCAGCATCCCTGAGGAACTTGTGAGGCTGATTCTCCTCTGACAGAGTCATTTCCCTTACCTTGGGCAGAAGGGTCATATGGTTTCCTGTGGTGCCTCTTAGCATATCAAAGCCCATGCTGGCCTCCAGGCTCCCTCCACATCACATGTATCGCTTACACATTTCAAAGTCCATACTAGCCTCTTAGCCCTTCTCACCTCCTCCCCTACCCTAAACTCCCTCCAGTTCATGGGCTTCCCCCCTCCCCAGTTCATGGGCTTCCCTCCCCCCAGCTACCCATTCTCCTTATAACCCTGCTATTCTTTTATGTTCTCTCTCTCTCTCTCTCTCTCTCTCTCTCTCTCTCTCTCTCTCTCTCGTTCCTCTTTCTATGTCATTCATTCCTATTCTCCAACCTTGCTATTCTTTTATGTTCTACCTTGCTATTCTTTTATGTTCTCTCTCTCTCTCTCTCTCTCTCTTTCCTCTTTCTATGTCATTCATTTCTATTCTCCATCCCCTGGCCCTGGCCAGGTCCAATCTGCTGGCTATCTTCAGTCTCCTTCTTTCTCTTCTGCTCTGACTCTTCCCGATGCCTCTAGCTTCTCTCTTTCTCTCCCATCTACAATAAAAACCTTCCCCTTCACCATACCATGCAGCAGTCATGTCAACAGTTTATACAGTATCAACATGTAACATACAGACTGACAATTCAGAGTCAAACTAACTGGCAAGAGGCATTAAAAAGTCAACCTGAGTACCAGAGACTGTGGAGAGGCTACTGATTTGTTAGATGGATGATGATAGCGTGATTATCATAAAAACCAAAACAAACAAACAACCCCAAGGTCCCAAATCCATCTACTGGCGATGCATCACCAACTATTTACAAGTTAACTGACATGATGCTTCGGGTTTGTCAACAATGTTCCAGGCTTCTCCATCCTTGCACAAGGTTGTAGGAGGGAGAAGCGCTAAGACAGATCGGCTCAAGTTGGTGATTATGGGAGGCAACTATGCCTTTCTGAGCCCCTTGGTACAGTTTCTAGATCTTTCAATAAGAACAGTTTCAGCAAAGAGCAGGCTCTGCCTGTGCCTGCTGTGGCATCCCAGGGAGCAGCGTGGACCTTGCACAGGCTGTGGCGTAAGGAGCCGAGGGGCAGGGGACCCTGTTAGGGAATCACGATGCTTGATGAGCTGAGGCGTCTTGGGCAGCTGGTGACTCTCAGTGATAGCCGCCTTGAGGACAGATCTCTGGGGAGTGCCGGCCCAAGTCTCACTCACTAGGATATCAGTAGGCTCTGGACCTGAGGGCTTTGAGCCACCTGACAGTGTCTAATGTACACTGGGATTTGAACTCAGAATCCTCCCTCTTCTTCCTTTGCCAACAACGATGGGGAGACTGGAGCCCTCACAACAGGGCATCTCTGGAAGTGGTCCTTGGCTTCCTGCTTCTCTGTCAGGCTCAGGGTCTTTTCTTATATCATGCTCTTGGATATGAAGATGTAAGAGGGTAACAATTCACAGGAGGAGCCGTGGAGGCCAGAGGGCTCAGGGTGACCCCAGCCCTGCCTCTCAGATACAACAACTGGCAGGTCCCTTATCTCATGACAACCCATTGCTCTCACCTAGAATTGAGATCACTCATCCTACAGGAGCCAAGGGCAACTCTAACCACAATGAAGGGAAGCTGCTTGGAAACCAGCCAGACACTGGAAGATGCTCTCGGGCAAGGGCCATTCGGGATTCTCAGAGGGCTCTCCTGACTTCTGAGCCCCTTAGCACAGGTCACTGGAGTGTTGCAGCTGAGGGGTCACATGTCATGGCTTTCAGAGTGTCACTCTAGGGACTGACACACTGAGGTGGTCATCTGTAGGAGGTTATCCTTGAGAACCACCTTCACCCTGAAGAACAGTTCACTCCCTTGTTCACACAGGCCTGATTTCTGAGTTGCCTGCTTCTCTGAGACAAGGGACCACCCCTAAGCTGGCGACCGCACGTGTGTGCATAGATGGTCTGAACATCTCCTCAACTGACTCTCCAACTGTCCCGTGCAGACCAGAAGCCAGCCTGAAGGTTAGGAGTAGCAGCCCACAGCCTCAGACCCTCAGCTGGGAGGCCCTGGCAGGTCCACACACCATTCATGTTCCGTGTCTCCACAGACCCTGCTGATCCCTGCACTCAGTGTTTATTCTCTAGGACATCGCTAATCTTGATGCAATTACAAAAGCAATTGGAGACCTAAGAAAGGTCTCTCTATATTTATTTTTTTGCCTTTTCCTACCTAAACTGTAGTCTCTTGGGGGTTCTCAGGCCAAAGGCCCTCAATACCATCTTTACAAACCAAGATGAGAGCCAACCATGGGAAGATTAGGATGGCCTTCTCCACACTGAAAGATCTGCCAACTGAGTCCAAACTCCCAGGACACTTACCAGAGTGACCTGCCTCTCGAGAATCACTGTAGGTGTGGGGAGCGGAGGCCCACTGGGGGGTGTGAGGCCAGACCCCTCCTCTTCAGCTTCCTCTGTGGCAGCTACCAAGTCTTCTCCATCAGCAGGTGCCTGCAAAGGAGATCAACAAGAGGGGTCCTTGTGGCAGGATTGGGTGTGTCGTTTCTGTGATGGCAGTCCAATGTCAAAACATTTACTTACCTACCAGCATCCTCACACCCAGCTCAGTCACAGGAGTGACTGCTGGGAGCCCCTCCCATCTTTGGGACACTGATCTCTAGGAAAGTTCTTAGTCAGAGCTAGGAGGTAGCTGATTGGGACAAAACCCAACACCTGGTTCCTTCTGCCATTGTCTTTCTTCCCTGTTCAGCTGTAGTTTTCCCAGGTCTCACAACAGAGCTCAAGCTGTGTGTGCCTCTGCAGAGGACCTTAATGGGTCCTGGCTCAGAACGCTGACCTTTCTGTCCCCCACGCGTCAGAAAGGATGCTAGCTGGGACTTACAGAAGTAAACACTTGCTCAGGGGCCACTGTGGGTGTGAGAGTGGCTTGGATGTCTGTTGGACTCCTGCTGGCTTGCTCAAGGACCACTGTGGGTGTGAGAGCATTCTGAATGTCTGTAGGGACCTCGCTGGCTTGCTCAAGGACCACTGTGGGTGTGAAGGCATCCAGGCTGTCGGTGGCAGTCCCGCTGGCTTCCTCTTCCTCAAAAGCACTGAGGGGCACTTTGGACACAGCTGGGGTTAGCCATTCTTCACCGTTTGGACCCTGGAACAGAACTGCCATGAGACTGTGCCCTGTGACCCCCACCCTTTCTTCGGCAGCTGTGCACATGCTACGGAGAGGAAACCACTGGGACCATCAGCTCTCAGCAGCTCCTTTGCGCCTGCCCTGTACGCATCAAGGCAGGACTGTAACTGAGTGTCCAGGCCTCAGGGGCTCACTGCAGCTCAGAGGCAGAAGACACCTTCCTGGGCATCATGAGCCCACCTCTGGAATCCATCTAGCTGCCCAACTCTGCCCGGTGCTCAGTGCATATCTGGGCTTAGTTTCCACACTCCCAGTCATGGGGAGCTCATCACCTCTGCAGGCAGTCCTCCTAGTTCCATACCATTCTGCTAGCCGACCTCCAGCGGCTTCTGCTATGCTGAGACTCGCTAGAACTGGAGTCTGGTTCCTGCTTTTCTCCCGCTGTGACACATTCCTTGTCTTTAAGAAGAAAAGGGAACAAGGGAAGAAAGGGAAGGAAAAGGAGACACTTTGTTCTTTGAACTCAACTGTGTGACAGTCAGGTGGCCTGGAGAATTCTGTCACTAGCCTGTGTGGACTTAAGGGCAGACCGCAAGGCTGCCTGCACAGTATCTTACAGACAGACAGACAGACAGACAGAAAGCATGTGGAGGAGCTCAGAGGTGGGTTGTTGACCTTGGCGGACCCTGCTGCCTTCATGCATTCACTCAGCAAATCTCAGCACCTGCCCCTTGATCGAAGCAGATCCGCTAAGCCCTGTCCCCACCAGGCTCATGAGCTGCTAGGGAGCCAGGCATGCGCTAGGGATGGAACTTTTTACCAATACAGTTGGGACGAGGTCTCCCAAGGACAAGGCCCAGGAGCCTTCAGAGCCCATGCCAGCACCTTCCCGGGGAAGCGATGCTGGGCTGACGCTGACAAGCAAGAAGGTGAAGGGAGGGGTGTGGGGAGACTCTCTGCAGAGAGGAGGAGTGGGGGAAGACTGCAGGGCAAGAGGAAACTCAGAGAAACTTGAGGCAGGAAGCTGCGACTCGGGTCAGGAACACAGCGGCCCCAGGTGCAGCCAAGAAGGCCAGTGACCGGACCCTGCTCAGCTTCTCAAGGGAGCTGGGTCAGTAGGTCAAGGTCAGCGAAGCATCCCAGAAGAGGGGGAACAGCCACCATAGAGAGGCCGCAGAGAGGTGTGAACAGTGCTGGCTGGGGAAGGAGGCTGTTCAGGGCCTACGCTGCTGAGTTACAGATTTAGGAAGAAAAGCAACAGGACTCCATTCTCATGGGATGTGGGACAGAAGGAAGAAGATAATTCTGATAATGAGGCAGCTAGGATGGGACTGTCCCATGCACACGAAGTGGGGACCCAGGAGTGGCCATGAGGAGGCAGGTTTGAATCTGATGGGTAAAGTACCTTTATGGGATACACAGGGACAGGCCAGTCCATGTCCAGCTGGGTGTGTGTGTGTCCAGTCTTCTCTACACTGCAGGCAGCTCGACCTTGCCCTCTACCCTGTCAGGCCTGCCTGTCTGCACCCTGCCTCCCTTCCCCTGACAGCCCACAACCACACCAGGACCTCTTCCCCTCACATGCAGGTCACACACACTGGCCCTGGTCCCTGGCCTCTGCTGGTGGGAGACTCTGCACACAGCCCTGAGACTCCTCCCTTCTCCTCTGACCACACAGGTCATCCCCGTCTCCCTCCGGTCCCTGCTGGACCACACAGTCTGAGCCATACACATAGAAGTCCTGGCAGGCACTCCCAGCTCTGAACTAGCACTGCTCAGAGGTGCTCCCCACACCCCAGCCAGGGCATCTGGGTTTGCCGAGTGTAAGGCTGGGAAGCCTGTCCTTACCAGAGTGGCCTCTTCTCTTGGCTTCTGGGTAAGCATGGATAGGGTTGGCCCTGCAGTAGGCATGGTGCCAGCCTCTGCACCCCCAGCAGTGCCGGTGGGCACCTCGCCATCCCCCGATGCTGCTGTTGCTGGATTTTCTTCATTCTCTGGATCCTGAATGGAAAGACATCCCAAAGGTCCAGGTTAGTGGACCACCATTTTGATCCATGTCTGTGGCTTTAGGGGACAGACAGCCAAGGTCCCCCTTGTACCTGTGTCCTGTGCCTCCCTCTCCTTCAAAGCGCTGGCACGTCTAAACCTGCCCTTTGTCTCTGCCCCCATTGCTCTACAGCTGCCAATCACCTGATTGTCCCCTGCCTCCTGCTCCCCTAGCTCGGTACCTCCCACGTTTAAAATCGCCCTCTCCAGCGTCACTCAGAATCATGCCTACAAAATCAAAGGATGCTTTTTAGCCCCTCACTCACGGGAACTTTGGGAAAGATCTGACATGTTCATGGCCACCTCTGCTCATCTGGACCTGGATCCGCCTTCTATCTCCATCCATGTACCCAGGCCGGCTTCCTTCATCCTTTCTCCACTTAGAAGCCAGGGTGATCATGCTAGAATTCTAGTCCCCCTAAGATCTTGTTGGTCCTCTCCTGTGCTTCAGTGGCGGCCACTTCACTAGATGCTGTCAAGCTATCCAGCAGAAGCCTCCATGCTCTGGGTCTCTCCATCTTCTCATCTTCAGCCCACAGCTGACACCGGGGGCCGCTGCTGACCCCGCAGTCATCCTGTACTTCTTCAGTTCCTGTGTGGTCTTTGGACCTTTGCTCCTCTGGCTCCCACCTGTAACATCTATCTGTCCCCTCTGCTTGGCTAATTTTCTCAAACTCCCAGACTCACCTTCTGCCCCTGTAACCTGCAAGATCACTCCCAGAGTGCTTTGGGAGTCCTCTGTCCCTTGGCTACTGTGTCTTGGGAACTCAGCCTATCCCAGTGACCTTCAACCCTGGCAAGTGGGATCAGTGCCTGGGTAGCGTAGCTCTCTGCAGACCTCTCTCAATGAGTGAACACCCCTGCAGCCATTTGCCCATGCCCACCTGGACTCGCCCCATGGTGCTGCAGCTCTGCATTTGCAGACAGGAGGCTAGTATCCACTTCTACCTAGGAGAACCTCTAGCAGAAGTGAAATGTGTGCACAAACTACTCACTGGAGTGCCCACTTCCCTGGAGTTCTGGGTGGACATGGCTAGGGTGGGGCTCCCAGGAGGCACACTGCCAATCTCTGCTTCCAGGGTAGCGGTGACAGGCACCTTGGCCTCCCCAGTTGCTGTTGCTGATAACACCTAGAAACAAGGACACAGTGAGAGACCCTGCCACTGGTCCCTTAGCTCTGATCAACAAGCCTGTGGCTGGAGGGAACTGAGCTTCTGGGTCACTACATGCACTGGCATCTGGCATTCCTGCAGTTTCTTGACCTTAGGCACCTCCATATTTGTGACTTCACCCCAGTCTCAGACCAGTCCCAGGCTTGCAAAAGCCAGGAGACAGGGAACATCTCTGAGGCATCGAAGTCTCGCATTTCATGCTAACATCTGTTAGCAGACCCTGTGACCATAGGCCATCGCCTCCTGAGTCAGCTGGCTCCAGCTCTGGACATTCTGTCTAGACACACAGGTCTCCTGTGGCCACTCCTGTGCACCCATCTGGACACAAGGATGATGGCATTGTTCTCCAGGGGGCTTCAGCCAGATGCAGGCAGCACTCCGTCCTCCTCAGCCCACTCCAGCCTGACGTGCCTGCCTCTCTTTCTTTGTAGTTGTGTTTCCTCTGGGCAATGAAAAGATTTCTATAAAGTCCCACAACAAACGGGGAGCTAGAGCAGCTGTGGCTGCAGGTGTCATCAAGAGAGACATATTTGCCAAAAATCACAATGCACATCTTAACTCCAACACTCGGGAGGCACAAGCAGACAGATTTCTGTGAGTTTAAAGTTAGCCTGGTCTACATAGTGAGTTTCAGACCAGCCAGAGTCACACTGTCAGACCCTATTTCACAAAGCGGGTGGGAGGGAATGTTTATTCTTGTTTTTCGTGTGTGTGTGTGTGTGTGTGTGTGTGTGTGTGTGTGTGTGTGTGTGCGTGTTATGATGTTCCTGAATGCACATGTGTATAGGTGGATTCACACACACATGAGTCTGTGGAGACCAGAGATCAATATTGGCTGTCTTCTCCCATGGCTCTTCATCTTATTTTTTTGAGACAGGGTCTCTCACTAAATCTGGAGCTTGCCATTTCAGCTAGGCTGCATGACTACCAAGATCCTAGGGTCCTCTTCTCTGTCCTCCTGCCATCCACACTGGGGTTACAGACACTCATCACTGCACCTAGCTTTTACATGGGTGTGCTTTGGATCCAAACTCCGGTCTTCACACTTGTGCACAAACTCCAGAGTTGAGAGGTTGTGACCCTACTAGATCAAGCATTTCTCAAACTGGCCTTGTAGATATGAAAGGTAACTGCTAAGAACAGTGTGGACACACCCACAGTTAACAATGTTCTGTCCTGAGGGGACTGTACTCTTCATAAAGATCCAGTGCAAGATGATCACCATCATTCATCATCAAGCATGGGTGAAAACAAGCTGGGGTTGATTCTCCTCCACCTAAGCTGGTGTACCCCTGAAGCTTGGCCACTGTGCTTCCTCTGTACCATGGGGCCATCAGTTCTGATGACATTCAACTAAAACTCCTTGGTGATCCAGTCATCATCAAATTGAAATAAGCAAATGAGTCCCCTATTAGGCCATCATATCAAATTCGCCACTCACTCACCTGACCGTCAGTGATATTCAACAAGGCCCCATCCCCTGAACCACTGGCGTCCCCATCCACAGCATGGACCTCCAGTGTGTCATTCAGAATCTCACCAGACCCTACAGGAAGCAAAAATTGTGATATCAACAACTATGTTTTACAGTCTTGGAAGAGAATGAGGTCACTCTTTACCTAGTAACTTGGGAAGGTGTCCATGATCCCATAATACAAGATCAAGGGGGAAGAGCCAGCCTAGAGAACAGGGCAAGGCCCTAGGGCCTGGTGGCATCATGGTCTCTGGCACCTCCTGCTGCCTGAAATCCTGCTTTGCCATTTCCCAGAATATGACTCAGGGAAAATGCTTAACCTGTGCCTCAAGTACCTTCATCTGCAAGTGGAGATTGTGATTCCTACCTCATTGGGTAGAAATTATTCTGAGGATTATGCATCATTTGGCCTAGCTGATAGGAGGAAAGTGTTGGGAACAGTGCCTGGCACATAGCAAGCCACTCACAAATATTCATATCATTGGAGTTCTGTAGTCAATGAACATAAAAAAGGACTACATAAGAGAACACATATTTTTCCGTCATTACATGTGACTATTCTATTACACATTCATGTTATGCAGTAGTTATTACCTAGCACACATATTATTGTGTGTACGTATCTATATGTTTATGTATATACACAGCTAAATCATAGTGCTGAACTTTGGCTCTTCCAGATCATAGGAGTGCAAAGAGAAGGGGAGATTATTGTTTTTGTTACCATCGTTGTTTCTACAATTCTGTATTGATTGAACTGTTACCACATGCACACCCATGGGGAGGATGTCAGAGACAAATAGAATCCTAAAGCAGAGAGTCACTAAAATGAACGCATGCCCTTTACCCCGCTAGCCAAGCTCTCTCTTCTCTAGGAACCGTTCCACCAACCTCCTGCCAGACCAGAATTCCACATTCTCGGCTTCCTCCATAACACCCCAAGGCAGGTATTTCGCTCTAATCACAACTTTAAAATATTAATAGTATTATTAATTATTAGTACTATTATTAGCGGTGTTGAAGACTGAGCCTTAGGATCTCATGCAAGCTAAGAAGTACTGTCCTCACTGAGCTGTATCATTGGCTCTCTTACGCAAGCTCCGTAAGTACTCTATCACTGAGATGTATCTCCAGCCCTTTTTTGCATCTTTATTTTAAAAAAGGGTCCCACTAAGTAGCCCAGGCTGGCCTTGAGCTTGTTCTGTAGCCTAAGCAGGTCTTGGATTTATATATTCCTGTTGCAGTCTCCCAATTGGCTGGGATTACAGGCTTGTGCTGCCAGGCCTCTCGTAATTATCCCCCTTCTGCAGAGGAGTAAAGTCATAGCGAGCGTAGTGGTCAGGAGGGGCGTGTAAGCCAGGCAGGCTTGCCTCTAGGCCAGAGTTTCTCCATACATGCAGCAGTCATCTTTGCTCCACTGTCTCTAGCAGCTCCTGTGTGGCCTCAGGTTTGATGCACAGAGTGGTCTGACATTGGCCGATGCCTGAGTCCTCCCTGCTCTGACCACCAGGGGGTGCTGTGCAAGCAACTACTGCACCAGTGTCACACTGGATGGAGCTGGGGCCCTTGCTGTCAGAAAGCATGGCAAACACATGCCTCCAATACTGGAGAGTTTTTCCCATGCAGAATGGCACTGGGGGTACAGGCTCCCTTCTTACCATCATCTGGGCTGTCTATTCATCAAGAAAGGGAACACTTGAACCAGTTCTGAGGTTTCCCTTTGGTCCTCTGTCCGATAGAGGAATAAAGCTGTTCCTGGGTACAGGTGAGAGGCTCAGGTGGGAGTCTTGGCCTCCACTCAGACCTTGCCTTCTTAGACTGGAAGAGCCACCCTACCCATTGCCCTACTCAGAGGCCTTAATCCACCAACAGTATCCACAATCGATAATACTTCTATGTTGCCAGGAACCTAGAAACCACAAGCATCCCACCTTCTTATTCACCAGGAGGGAAGGACGGCTACTGTCCCCAAGGAGGGTTAAAAAGGTGTGCAATCTCAGCCAGGCCCACAGCAAATAGATGGCCAAGTAGGGCTTCCTTCAAAGCTGTGTCAAGCTCCTCCTACCCGCCCCCTCTGGGCTTCCCACTGCCACATCCTCAAAACTCCTTAGTTCCATTGTAATCTTATTAAATTATTTATAATTTTCCCATCTACTATTCTTTGTCTTACCCACAGACTTCCCAAGTTCAGTTGTTAAAATAACACTCATTAGCTATTACTGTAGATGACGCTTGAGACACGGAAATTTAACAGAATCAAAACCACCTGCAGTTTTACCACACATTGTGTGTTGGACAAAATGGGTAATGTGTATCCCCCACACATGCGAACAACACAGATTCAGAGTGGCGGCTGTCGCAGTTTTGAAATCTGCTCTTATGGAGAAGACTCCATTAGCAGGCCCATAACTCTTTAGAGCATCCTCATCACGTGGATGAAGGACATTGAATTTGCTCAAGCAGTCCCTGCTACAGGGCCTTTGGATAAAGAGTGCTGCTGGAAATGACCTTGCCCCTACATCTCAGAACTCTGGCCTTGGCACAAACGACCACCTTCTGGGAAATGGTGCCCTCGGACCTTGGGTGCATGTCACTCTGCTGCTTGGGGGAGTCACAGATATTCGCTAGGCTTTTGCTTGTGCACCTTGGTGTGGTGGCAGAAGCAGAGGAGCAGCAGGTGGCGCCTGAGGCCCGCTCTCCTCTTTAGGGTCCCATTGACCTGCTGGGTGACGATGCCAGTCTCTGGCCATCAGTTAGCTGCCCAGATCCTCTGAGACCCAGAGAGCTTGTAGCAGAAATCAAAACAAGTGAAGATTCTGAGATGGAACTATGAGCTTGTAGACATGTTGCCTGCCCCTTTTCAAGGGTTGGCTTTCCTCACCTATAAAATTGCAGCTAGCCATATTGACTAGAAGGCATGCTGGTGGGACTGGAGAAGTATGCACACACTTGGCACACAGTAGGTACTCAGTTAGCAGCAATGACTCTTATAAACTTTCATGTAGGGGGAGCAGAGGTAGAGTCTGAAAGCTAAAGACTCAGACGTTGGAGAGCAAGTGCCAACTCTGCTACTCTCAGGCCGGGTGGTCTTGGCTAGGTCATCTAATTTCTCTGTGACTTAGTTTCCCTGTCCTGTCTTTAAGGAAAGTGACTGTCGTTCTTCCCTTGAAGGGTAAAGGGATGGAAGGTAAGTTCTGTATGCTGCATGCATGGTGATTACTCCGTGGCAGACGACCATTCTGACATGTGTGTCAGGACTTGCCTTGCTCAGGGCTGCTATGCCCAGTGATGTTCAAGTTGGTTTCCGGGGTTCCTTCTGGCACAGGTTCACCAGAAAGCTCCATGTCCTCAGCAGGAGAGGATGAAGTAGGAGGCATGTTTATGGGATCAACGTGTGCTTCTTTAGGCTGAAGAGAGAAAAATGGAATTTACTTTTAAAAGAATCCTTTAAGTAAGAGCGGATTTTCTTAACAGTGAAGCAGGGAAAAAAAATCATGGGAAGTAATTTATCCACAGAATCCCGAATAATCCTGAGTGCCTATAACTGGCTGTGTCTCTGGGCAGCATCACACCTCCCAGGCCTGAAAGAGGTATGTGCTGGGTGTATAAGCTCAGAGACACCCACCACACTTCTGGGATGCCTGTGTCCCAGGCTGGCACAGAGCAGATGCTGGATCCAGGAATGTGTGAGTGGTTCTGTCAGTGAGTCAGGCTGCACCAGGAACCCTGTAAATCCAGCCCCAGAGCAGCACGGTGGGCAGGGATCTGACAGTGATGGATGTGTCGGCTTCCTTCCAAGGAAGCTCCTGCATCTATACAGCTTCTCCAAAGCCAGGTGAGGTCTTAACCAGTCTTACCAACGAGGAGGAAACAAAACCCAACAGTTGGAAATAAGGCAAGCTAGAAATCCAGACAGGAAATTCAGTGCTGGTCCTAAATGTCCTGACACCAACCCTGGATGCTGAAAGCAGTTTGTGAGACCCAGGGTTGTCAGCATTCAGTCTCTTCACTTTCTAAGATCCAGGTTGTTGGGGAGGATGGAAGATTGAGTAGAATGATCTAGTATTGAACTTGACTGTGGAAAAGGAACACATCTCTGCTGTTTTAAGACACCGAGGTGTTGGTGCTCATTTGTTACTCTGTGTGCATCCTAACAAGAACAAGCTCTTCTCCTAACGTTAGATTCTACTGTGCAGATAGTGAACCTTTGGTCCATCATAACAGGGAGGACTTTTAGGAGCCCTGTGACTTCAGAGTTCATGGTTTAGTCCTTTCTGTCAGACTTGGGTCGAATGCCTGCCTTGTATTTAGCTGACTGACCTATTTTGGACAAATCATACAGCCTCACTGGGCCTAAGCTTTCTCCTCTGTGCAATGGGGACAATGAGCAATGTTCTACAGAGGAGAAGAGATGACTCAGTGGTGAAGAGCACTGGCTGCTCTTCCAGAGGACCCAGGTTCAATGCTCAATGCCCATTTGGTATCTCACACCTGGCTCCAGAGGAGCTGATGCCCTCTTCTGGCCTCTGTGGGCACTACACACATATGATGCACATGCATACATGAAGGCAAGACGCCCATACATATAAAATAAAAGTGTACAGATCTGGAAAAAAAGAAAAGGAAAAGGAAATGCTTGTGCATTTTTAAGTAGTGAAATAGCCCACATTACTAAGAGCTGAAATTGAGACGAATGCAGTCAAGAAACAATGACTCTGAGCACCAAGCCTGGGACACTGCCGGTGATTTATCGCGGTGTCATTTCCATGGCAAAGGTGTGAAGGAAGGCTGTAAGGACTAGGCCTGGAAGGTGGGTAGAGTTCAAAAAAAAAAAAAAAAAAAAAAAAACAGCACAGACATCAGGTCTCGGCTACCTGAGTTGGGCCAGGGCCATGGCTGAAGAAAACTTGCAGGCCAGAGCCTGTAGACGCAGCAGGGTGGAGGAGGGATGGAAGGAGAGATGGGCTTGGATGCAGGGACAAGGACAGTGCTGAGGGTGGGAGTGGCCGGAAGAATCTAGATTGGGGATGCTGAGGTCCAGCCCAGGAGGCCTGGGTGGGGTCCTGAAAAGCCCAAAGGGCAGGAGCTAGGCAGGGATGCTGAAAGAGTGGGAACGGCCAAGGCAAAGCAGCAAACCCAGCTAGGACCCACCCGTCCTGGGACGGACGCCTCTTCCCCTGGGAGGGGTCCAGGGGGAGGCTGTTTTCCATGGGTCCCTGATGGAGCTAGGAAAGCCCATGGAAGCCCCAATGTAGCCTCCAGGGGTGCCAACAGTTGGAAGCAGGGGTACTTTGTAAGACATGTGGGCCTAGGGACAGATATTTGGAGTAGACGAGGCTGAGCAAAGAAGAGGGCAAGCCTGAAACAGGTTGAGCTGTTAGCCAAAGAGATCTCAGTTGAGTCCTTGACCAGCCTTTCAGCCAAAATCTAACAGTGAGTCTTATCCCGGCAGCCATAGGCACCTAGGCCCCGCTCTGGGGAAAGGTGAGACTCCAAGGAGCTGACTATGGGGAAAGTGAGGTGTCTCATCTTGAGCACACACGGCTGTTGGCTTCAGAGGTAAGATGGACGAGGAGCCAAGCGTGGGCTGTGACAGTGTAGAAATATCTAGTCTAAAGACTTTAGTACATTTCCAGGGTATCATGGAGGTCTTTTTGTTTTTGTGTTGTCTTTTGCCGAACCTCACAGTCACTATGAGATCTACTCATTCCACAGATAGGTTCCTGTGGACCCACTGAGTGTCAGGTTGTTGGCTGAGCCCTGGGGCCGGAGAAAGGAATAAAGAACACATTGTGGCTACCCACCCCAGAGCACAGAGGGGCACTCACCAGACCCCAGTAGCCGATTTCATGGGACACAAGATAGCAGAAGCAAGGGCCAAGCTAGGGAGGGGGCGTGGCGGGAGAGGAGGCCTCACTGGAGAGGATTTGGCCTGGATCCTGAGGGGGGTAGGAATTTGCCAGAAGGAAGGAAGGGTGGGGGTGGAGGGGGGTTCCAGGGAAACAGAACTGCACAGGGCTGTTGGGAGGAAGTCCCAGATGGTATGTCTGGGAAGCCGAGAGCCCTTAGGTGTGGTTGGAAGAAGGCCTGGCTGTGGCTGGGAATCACCCGCAGAGCGCTCTGCCAATGTGGATTCTTGTTATTCACTCCAGACATACTGAACATCCAGGAAAGCCGCCCCGGAGGCTCCTTATTAAAGACCTCTGTCAGGCCCACACGGTTGGGCACAGGTGACCCACATGCACAGCCATGTTAATTCCAACTCAGCTGGAGATAAGTTTTCCATAAATGCAAAGGTATGCGAGCGGCAGCCGGCTGGGCAGGAGAGGCAGGCGCAGAACAGCCCAGGCGCGGCTGACCCTACATGGGAAGTGGGGAGAGGGAGGGCTGGCAGGCTGCCACCTCTAGCTCAGTTTGCCCGTTAGGGCCCGTGTTCTGGAGAGTGACAGGCTGCAAAGGCTGGGCATGGGGAAGTGAGATTCTGACCAAGAAATAAGCCAGACAGAGAAAGGAAGGACTGTCTGAGACCAAAGGGAGATTCCCTGTGCTGGAGCGGTTGCTGCCAAAGGAGCCAAAACCCTTCCGGGTGGAGTGACCGAGCACTCTGGATCCATAGTGGATCTGGCTCTGCACCTTCGGGCCGGGTGGCCTCAACAACAACATGGCTGTTCCAGGCCCGCTCCTATAGCATAGACCCCAGGAGGCCTCTCCGAAAGGTCACCACGGGCAGAGCAGCACACTCTCAAGAGTGAGCCGCTTGTGTAGGCACAGGGACAACGGTAGAAAGACAGAAGAACCCTGAGGATGGCATCTGGCAGGTGGGTGGTGAGGACCAGCAGCTCTGGGGCCATCAGGGCTGGGCCTAGGGCAATCCTCTTAGAGCAGAGGGCAGCCATAGGGGTTTGGAAAACAAGACAACAGGAAGCAGGTGTGGAGGGGGGGGGCTCCCAAAAGGAACAGTGAACTCAGAGTGTCTGCATTGAGTCTGGCCCTGAGATCCTTGGCCTCTTGGAATGTAACACAAGCTTTCGCCCACCACTGCTGTGTGCCAAGGACCACTCGCATGTCTGGACCAGGCGGGTTGTCCACCTCCCATACCAACCCGTGGAGCGGGCATGTTCCATGCTAACGGGGGAAGCTGTTTTGGAAAGGAACGCCAAGGCTAAGACCTACTCTGGGTAGGACTTGGATGTATAGCACTTCTCCCAAGTCCCTAAGAACCAGAAAGAGGAAGGAACGGACTCTCTGCCCCAGAGACTCCAAGGGCACCACACCACCAGCCACTTTCCTTCTGTCGCTTCTCCAGGTCCCCAGAGATCGATGTCACACCCTCTCTGGGCTGATGTTGCCCCTCCCCCAACACACACATCAGCCCCTGTGCCTGAGCACTGTTGTCACGGTGTGCTGGCTAGTCTTATGTCAACTTGACACACAAACTAGAGTTATCTGAAAGGAGGGAACTCAGCTGAGAAGCGGCCTCCGTAAGGTCCGGCTGCAGGGCATTTCCTTATGGTTGGTGGAGAAGCGACCAGCCCATTGTGGGTGGTGCCATTCCTAGGCTGCTGGTCCTGGTTTTAAGCCAGTAAGCAGCACCCTTCCATAGCCTCTGCATCAGCTCCTGCCTCCAGGTTCCTGCCCTGTGTGAGTTCCTGTCCTGACTTGCTTTGATGATGAACAATGATGCGGAAGTGTAAGCCCGATACACCTTTTCCTCTCCAACTTGGTCATGGTGTTTCATCGCAGCAATAGAAACCCTAACTAAGACACATGGGAAGAGGTCCGGGAGGCTTGATTCCTGGCTCCGCTACTACCTGACCCTGGAGATCTGCTCATCCCCCCGGGCACCCATTTCTACATCTGCATAGAGAATAATGCCGCCTTCCTTGCGGGGTGTTGTAAGGAAGAAGCGACATCGCATCCGCAGAAACACCAGCTCTCTCCCTCTTCTGCCTCCCCCTCCATGCCTGTCCCAAGCTGCCTGTCTCCACTTTTCCTTCCTAAATTCTTGTCTCATTCTCATGCTTGTGGCCTTCTCACACTCTCAAACCCTTCTGTCCTTTTCTGGCCCTCTCTGGGGACTGCCATGGGTTGTTAGCACCTCTGTCTGGGTCAGCCTCCCTCTACATTATGGACCTGTATACCACGAGGCAGCATCATGCTCAGAGCCCTGAGCATGTGGCCCACTGACCTGCACCCAGGATGTGCCCATGGGTGGCTAGGCCTAATGGGCACCCAAGACTCCAACACTGCCCCAAGCAGAGCATGGACTCCTTGGTTTCTCCATCTCAGGCAAGGTCTTGAGGACACACTTCCATAATCCCACCCAGACCATAAACCCACGGGTAGATGTCAGGAGATCTGTGCTCCAGCCTAGCTTGCTCAGCTTCCCTCTCTGGATCTGTCTGCCCATCTGTAATATGGGCAGTTGGCTATACACACCTGTCGAAGTCCTTCTAGCTTTATCAGACTATGGTTCTGTTCTGCCACACTCACATCCCTGCTGCCTGAGGTCTATACGTACAGTCTCTGCCTTATTTCTGTCTCCTCGCTTCCTATCAGAAGTACCTTCATAGAGTGACGAGCCCAGCCTGGGAGCTTTCTTTGCTTACAGCTCAGATGATGCTCCTTGCTAGTCTAATATATACATACATGCATCCAACACACACACACACACACACACACACACACACACACACACACACACACACACACACACAAGTGCTTCCATGGTCTGACTCAAGACTTTCCTCTTAGCTGCAGAACACATTCCCAGGAGGGAGAGAGGAGAACACCAAGATGAGGGTCACTGTTGCATGGGTCCAAGGCAACACTGAGTATCGCTCAGGGTTGTTTCCCTCATGCCCGGCACTTTCTGAGACTCACCCCTGCCTGCCTCATCTAATTCTCCAGTGACCTCCTACAATATAACTGATATTACCATCACTCCGTAGGGGGGAAGACAACTGAGGTTCAGAGGGACTGAGTAAGTTCTCCAAGGCCCAGAGCAAGTCTGCCTTTGCACACCTTCCACAGCCATGCATACAGGTGGCCCTGGAAAACTGGTCTGTTTGCTTGGGTGTGGGTGTGAGGCTGACTCCCCCGGAGGATCACACCTGACAGCACCCACAGGGGTAGCACCCATGCTCACCGGGGCTTGAGTGTAGGTGACAGCTTCCATGATCTCAGCGACTTCATCCATCTCCTGAAGCCCACTGGCTTCTCCAGATGCCTGTGAGGAGATAAGTCATGCCACACACCGTAAGGAGTCTTTCTCTGTCCCGCTAGTCCCCCCCCCCCAAGTGATACAGAGACTTATTCATTAATTATGAAAGCTCAGCCTTAGCTTAGGCTTGTCCCACTCGCTCTTATAACTTAAATGAACCCATTTATTTTAATCTACGTTCTGTCACATGGCTCGTCACCTCTTTGCTCCGCACTGCCCATGCTGCTTCCTCCATGTCTGGCTGGCTACTCCGCCTTCTTCTTCCCAGAGTTCTCTCTGTCTCTGGAAGTCCCACCTGACGAGCTATTGGCCGTTCAGCTTTTACACCAATCACAGCGAATACATCTTCACACAGTGTACAAACATCCCACAACAACACCCAGAGCAGGAGAGCAGGTGACACAGCACTGGGGTCCTTGGGAAGGTCAGAGACTTGACCAGCAGACTCTGATGGAGGGACTCTGTATGTGTGTGTGTGTATGCATTTGCATGTGCATGTATGTGTGCAGTTTGCACATGGCTGTGACTGCATATGTGTGCATGCATATGTGTGTGGTATGCATGCATGTGTATATACGTATGTGAACACATGTATGGATGTATATACATGTGTATACATGTTTGTGTGGTATGCATGCATACACGAATGTGCGTATGAATACATTATGTGCGGTATTTGAACCTGTGTGTATGTGTGTGCATGTATATATACATGGGCATCAGAGACAGGGTGGGAAATGCCATATGCACGGTTTCTGTCCACACTATTATTGCTACAGTCTGAGTTACTTCACCTTCCAACCATGCCCAGGCTACCTTCGTTCCCGCTTTGTGCAAGGTGCTCATGGGAACCCGCTCAGGGAGCCCTCATCCAACATGGCTTCCTAGTGTTGCCTGACCTTCGAAGCTGGCCCTCACGTCAGTCCAGGAGCCTGTGCTGTGCTCTGCCGGGGATCCTGTGCTCTGGGGCCCCTGGGTTGTTTATACCTCACCATGAATGCAGAGCAGAGACAAACACAGAAAACTCCCCTTGTTTCCTCGGCTGGCTCCCCGTGAATGTCACGGGCGCCGAAGTTCAGACATTCAAACAGCCCCACATGCTACCTCTGGTGCACAGATTTCTTTTCTAGCACTAAATTAACGAAACCGGCTTCCAGTTTGTTCAGAGGCTGACATCACTTAAGGAGCAACAGTCACAGGAAACACCACTCTGCCTGCCTCTGGCTTTGGCACCACGCTCCTGTCTGCCTGGAAGGCCCTGCAGACAGCGCCTCTGCCTGCCTGGCTTCCCGCTCCTCCTCCTGCCCCTCCTGCTCTCCGACCAGCTGAATTGGGTCTGAGGCTCTGTCACTAAGTTGTGTCTGCAAATGTGTGTCAGAGATGGAGGAGGGGACAGCGCCCGAAGTATATCCCCTCATCCCCAGCCTACACCCGGGGACTGTCACAACCAGCAAATCCTGGAGGGAGGAAGGAAGGAAGGAAGGAACCATCTTTCCTCCTTGGCCCCCACCCCACCCCCAACTTAGGAATTGGTTCACTTGCCAAGCATAAAACCAACCTAAATTTAGGTTCATTTTTATAGGACTCTACACCCAGAATATCTTAGCATTTTAACTCTGATTTTAGAATCCTGACACCCTTCTTGGCAGGAAGGCTGGAAACCAGGCCATTGACTGCCACAGCCACAGGAACACCTCATAAGACACACAGCCCCCACTCCAAGGAGACGGCTGAAGAGCTTTGAAAAGTGAAAGAAAGCCAAAAGCCCAAAATAGGACTTGGGGCAGTGCTGGCCCTGATGAGAGGCTTTCAGGGCTGCATGACGCTGAGGGGGAGGAATGGCCGGGCACCCAGCCTTCCCCTGGCTGACTGGGGGATGAGGGTTCCGAGTGCTGGGGGGTAGGCAGAAGCTCACCGAGGACTCTTGGGCTTCACACAGCTCCTCAGGGGTCCTGGGGTCAGTATAGATGGTGAGCTGCTGTATGGAGCCCTGGGGAAGAGAGAGATAAGAAGCATGGGTTACTTGTATACGTCACAATGTCCAAGGAAGACGGGAGTGTTCATATGAGGGAGACGCCTGCAAAGGACTAACTGGCATGGCCATGTGTTATCTGAGGTGACAAGGATGCTGGGCACACCCCACCCAGGCTCTCTGTCTGTTCAGGGGACTCTCCTTGTGTGCTCCCATTGAATACGGACTCCCTTAGCATATGTTCAGAATGTGGACAGCCACAGCAGCCCAACATCTCCAGGGTCCCTGCAGGGCAACAGCAGACCCTGAAATGTGTCTTCCCTTCCCTCCAGAGCTCAAAGTTTCCTTGCTAGACATTCTTGTCACACGGAGAGCTGCCAGCAGCCTCTCCATCCCACTCCTGCTGACTGTCTGGATCTGGTGCTCACTCTTCAAAAGCCAGCAAAGCCAGCGTGTACACGTGTGTAACATGTACACAGGACATCAGCATTCCCACTGAGCGACAAGTAAATTCGATTTCTGCCCTCTAGTGGTGCCTTTTTTTTCTTTTTGGTTGGTTGATTGGTGGTTTTGGTTTTTTGATTGTGTGTGTGTGTGTGTGTGTGTGTGTGTGTGTGTGTGTGTGTGTGTCTATGTAGCTCTGGTTGTCCTGCACTCACTATGTAGACCAGGCTGGCCTCAAACTCACAGAGTTTGGAGTGCTGAGATTAAAGGTATGCACCAGCATGCCCAATTTTGACAAAGAATCTCAGTCAACCCAGTAGTCACTCTGTAGCTCAGGCTGGCCTGAAACTCATGACTCACTGCAATCCGAGTACTGGGATCTCAGGAATAACCCAGGATCTTGCCTTCCTTAGTATGTCTGATTCACCCTAGAGGCATCCTGGCTCAGTACTCTTGTGCGTTAAATGAACTCCTCTGATAACTTATTCTCTTTAGAATGGCTTCTGAGCAGAAGCCTGTTCTGGTAATAAAGTTGGCCTTCGAATTTGTTTGTTTTAGGACTCTCTGTTCAAAAAGAAGAAAGAGAAGTTACTTCTCATTCCAATCATTCTGACGCATCTGTCTTTACAGAAGTTATTTCAGCACAATTGCCATCCACGTCTAGAAATGAAGTCATTTTGAAAGTAGCACGCTGGACTCTTCTTTAGACATGGCTTTCACCAAACAAAGTGCCTCTTACTAATTTCCCACACAGGCCTGTAACTTACTATGTAGCCCAGGTTAGCCTTGCCTTTATGATCCTCCTGCTTCCGTCTCCTGAGTGCAGAGATTACAGGGTGCACTAAAACACCCGGCCTCAAGATAAGGGCCTTCATATTCACATTCAGACAGTACAACAGATCACATAATACAGTACTGCCTAAAGCCTGCAGCCTCAGTTTATGGCAGAGTACTGGGATCATTGGCTTCCAAGCCTAGAGTACTTCCCACATGGAGTACATGCCGTGAGGGGGCATAAGAATAAAATAACAACGATCATTGCTCCTGCTTGGGGTGTGTGCGTTCATGCTCAAACTTCTCTGGTCTGCGGGGAGTGGACTGAAACTCACCGTAAATCTCTCCAGTCCCGTGGCTCCTGCATTGCCCACAAAGATCCCAGCACTGGGCTCGAAAGTCAGAGGCCGGGAAGATCGCTGGAAAAGGACGTGGCTGTGTTCCTCACAGTCCACGAGAAGGGCCACTTCCTCGCCCTGGACAGTCACAGCAAAACGATTCCACCTGTTGGTCATCACGGGCACTGAAAAGGCTGCAGCTTCACGGGACACATGGGAGCCTGGTTCCGTGTAGTACAGGATAACCCGCTGGTGGCCATCCTCCACACCGGAAAGACGCAGACCCAGGTAGATGACTTTCTGGAAAGCGTCAGTAATTGCAAAGAGCACGCCTCCCTGGGCACTGCTAGGCTTCACTGCCACACCGATGGCGAAGTCCCTGAAGAAGGTAGGTGGGATGAGGGTCCTGGCTGGGCGGCCAACATTGGCACCAGGCCCAAAGCTGTAAGCCGGGAAACCACCATAGCCAGTGACAAAGGACACGGAAGAGGGTAATGGAACACCGATGAGCTCTGTGAGGTCCAGATGGTCCTGGGAGGCTGACCCTGTGGGGAGGAGGAGAGGCCGTGATTCCACCACACTGGACAAAGGAGGAAGGAGCCACAAACACAACTGGATCCCGTGGGAATCCACTGAAACTAGGCTTTCTAAATGACAGCCTCCACAATGAAATGTGATGTGCAATGTGCGTAAAAGCACACGACTATAACTCACAAACACCGTTTCAGAAAGCATCTTCGTGAATTCTCAGCAGGCCCTTAACTATTTTCTCCTCCCCTTTAATTATTGTTTTTCTCTTTTTAAAATTAAAACCATGCTGCAAAGACTTACTAATTGATTTGATTACTCGCTAAGGGGTCATGAGCTACACTCTGGAAAAACATTTACAAATCATTTCTAGAAAAAAATATATATATAGTGCCCCCCCCCATTAACTTGGAGATTTCTTTCATTACTTAACCAAGGGGAATCAGATTGTATCACTTTGTTTTAAATGGGGTCTTTTGTTTACATGCCTCAGAGCGTAGGGGGTAAGCAGGCACAGAGAGGTGTGTTCCCTAGAGTTCAGCACAATTGAGCTTTGCTTCATAGTGGTAACCATTCAGCAGCAGCAGCAGCAGCAGCAGCGGCCTCAGCATCCCCACCATCATCCACATCCCAGCTCTCTCTCTCTCTGTACCAGGTACTGCTCTGAGCTCTTTACATAATTTAAACTCATTTCACCCTCACAAGAACTCCAACGAAGTTAGGTACCGTTACTTCCGCTTCCTTCTGACTAAATCAAGGCGGCCAGAAGCTAACAAATTGGCAAGCAAAATTCAAGTGCAGAATTCAGTCCTAGAGTCCCTGCCCCAAGCTTGTGCTCTTCACTAGCGCTCTTGGTGGGGTTGGTAGACCTCCTCCATTGCAGCGGCCTGAGGAAGAACCCAGGTCTGACCATTGTCTCTGGAGGAAAGCTGCAGGATCGTCCGGTGGTCTGCATCCATCCCTGAGCTGATGTAGAAGTGGCAGCAGTGAATGAGAGGAATGCAGGTCTCAGGTAGAGTGGACACATCCGGTGCCACTGAGCCCGTGGACAAGGCTTCAGGAACAAAGCTAGATCCTGAGGATTTGGCCGGGGTGGAGGACCTAGAATGATGAACCTCTGAATGGAGCCCTGGCCCCCTTAAAGGCCAGAGGGCAGGGCAGATCTCCTAGTGGCCACTTGGGCTATAGCCAAAGGTCAGAGCTCCTAGACCATGGATAAAATTCTCCCCTATCACAGGAGCAAGTCAGAGGACGGCCCATACGAATGACTAAGACCATGTCTCCTAGTCAGCTTCAATTGTCAACTTGACACAGGCCCGAGTTATCTGAATCCCTCAGATAACTTCCAGTCTCAATTGAATGATTCTCTATCAGTGTGGTCTGTGGGAGCAGGTTCTTGACTGCTAATTGGTGTAGGGAGTGGGCAGCTCACTGTGGGTGGGGTCCATCCAAGGCAGGAGGTCTTGGACTATATAAGAAAGCTAGCCGAGCCCAGGTTTGGGGGCATTTAGTAAGCAGCCTTCCTCTGAGGTTTCTGCTTCAAGCTCCTGCCTTGAGTTCCTGCCCCAGCTTCCTTCAGTGATGGATGGTGTCTTGGAAGTGTTAAGATGAAATAAACCTTTTCCTCCTCCCGTGCTTTTGGTCTCAGTGTTTATTGCCCTGGTAGAAAAGTAAAGTAGACCACTACCCTTGTAGCCCCCAGTCAAAAATGGGAGAGACACAACAAACCTTTTTTTTTTTTTTTTTTTTTTTTTGCTGCATCTCCAACAATCAGGAGGCCCCTGAGCAGGGACGCGCCCCACTGCACTGGGCTAGGGGCTGCTTCTGTCCTCGGGCTCCTTGTATAGGGCACCCACTGCCATTTTCCTCTGCTGTTTTCCTTTTCCCCATAGCAGCACTGGGAATCAGCTGCTACTATCCCATTTCATGGATGAAGAACTAAGACTTAGGACATGGAATCCTGACCTGCAGATACCCAGCCAGTGGTGGGGAGGAGAACTGTAAGCCATAGCTAGCTTGACTTTTAGTTATCTCTAAGTCTGATGAGAAGAGGGGTTCCTACAAGGGTTCTGGACGAGGCTCAGCTGGAGAGAGAGGTCCCCATCACCAACAGGGCCTGAGACAAGGGGACCACAGAGCAGATAGCACGTGTGTGTGTGTGTGTGTGTGCGCGCGCGCGCGCGCGCATGCGTGTGTGTGTGTGTGTGTGTGTGTGTGTGTGTGTG